ATGAGGGAGGAAGGAGGGGAGCTGCGCACAGCTGGACACCCATTCTCAAATCAATCTTTCATTTATATGCTAAGCAATTGATGCAGTGATAGCAAGCTAATTCTGCAAATGGAAGGGAACTCAGACAATCTCTATGTTCTATGATGTATCATTTGTAAAGCTATTCCATCAAGACTTAAGGAAGATACAAGCAGGAGAAAGCATCCTGAAGACTACTGGTATAATCTTAGTCTAACCAAAGCACTTGGTAGAAATGTTAAATAGCCTGAGAAGGAAAGCAAAAAGAACTAAGTTTCTGCCTATCCATGTGATGTCCCAGTAACTATTAGCAGAGCCTAAAGGGTCAGTCTCAGAAGCCAACTTAAATATAGAAGCAGCTGTGGATGTATCATTTTTAAAACAGCATAACCTCAATAAAAATATCATTTCCATAAGGTTTGGTTATTTTGTAGTTTTATAATGCTTTTCCAATTACAAAAATCTATGCCTATAGATACTTTTGCCTTTAAATCTTGTCTGGTGACAAAACTAGCTCCAGATTATCTGAAGAATGCTAAGCATATCATTCCATAAATCTTTTCACACAGTGGATGGGCAGCTCCCCCAAGTGTTTACCAACCGTTTCCTGGTGTGGTTTTCAGCAGTCTTTGGGCACTCCTACTTTGATAGAGCAGCCTAGTCCTAAGTAGGTAATAAAACTTCTCAGTATATACTAGAGAGAGCCTTTGGCAGTCAGCAAAATAATGGCATGAAAAACAAATGTGATGGGAGACTTTGTGGAAGCACCATAAGTTTCCCTAGGACAAGGTATTTCCCTGAGTGGATTGATTATTTGCAGCAGGGCACTGTGGAAACTGCTCAAGGTGAACTTGTTTTAAACCAATCTGCTTAATAGAGATAGGTAGATTTGTTCCAGGTTAGCATCATTTAGGGAAGGGCAAGCATGGAAAAAAGGCTTTGCCAGAAGACTGGATCCCAGCTTTTGGGTACTGTACAGAAACTATTTTAATGGGATGGTCTGCTCTTTGGAGACTACTTTAGACACATCATTTATGTTGCATGTATGCAGAAAACAGCGGAGGCCTTGGTTATCTATAGACATCCTCAGACATAATAATCCATGTGTTAAACTCTATTTTGGTTTAAAATCTCCTTGAGGTATATGGAGCTAAGAGGGATTTCTGAGTAGTGAGTAAACTATGTACATATTGTTCTCTAGAGGTGGCAAAGCACTAGCTTAGTCTCAACGGTGGCAAATGCTCCAAAGCAAGATCAAGGTCACCCAACTGCTGCAGGGCAGGATAACCTGCCACAGTTACTTTAGGAACTGATAACGCAGCGTACATAGAAGCAACAACCCCTCTCCTGGCAAGTGCTGACCCCAGTATCCCCGGCATACTTTATAAAAGTAGGTAGTGTGTTTGAATGCTATGATTCTCTCCACCTTTACATCTCTCATCTTTACACCAGCTTGAACTACAAAACCGGGGACATCAGGAAAAGGCTTGAGTCACAACTTCCTCCCGATTACTGGGAGCACTCTGCCACCTACTGCCTATCCGAGCTCTCTGTGGTTGCAGCTTTCCACTTAACATTGTCAAACCCAGCTTCTGTTTCCTTACTTTTGTTTTTAATCAGCAAAGTCCATGCAGTGCCCCTGTTCACTGGCTGAACTAAAATAAAATGCATTTAGGGCCATGACTGAACAGTTTTATCTGCCGAGTACTGAGTCATCTCTCTGTGCTTCTGTCAAAAGCTCTATTAGTGTTCTAACAGACAAATAACATGCAACAACAAACTGCCTGTACCAGATCTCTAAGTACTGGCCTGAGAGAAAAACAAATTCTCTTAAAGCCGTAATTTCTAGTCACTTTTACATACGAAAAGAGCAGAAAATATATAAATCCAATACATCAGTTTCTCTTAAAGACTACTAAAATGCTTAGTTTATTCAAATTCAATAAAACAACATGCATTTTTAGGCTGTTTCTGTATAGAGCATGTTCTTGGCTTCAATCTTTTGCACAGAAGTTTTCTTGTAAGGGTCAGGTCAACTAATGACCACCTCATGAAAGATTCAGTTTGAACATGCTCAGCGCCTTTTTGGTAACAAACCACCTGTTCTGCATATTGTGAGGAAAAAGTATCAGTGAAAAGCTCAAGCAATTATGAAAGTGGTTTATTCATTCATTAATTTTATTTGTGACACTGCAGTAGTGGAACAGAAATAGTAAACTATGAATTGTCAAAATGGAATTTGGACCTAGAGCAGAAACAAAAGAATTCTGTGCTTGTATGATAGAGAACATGCACCTTTTCATGGCTGCTATAACGTCACCTCAACTGGGGTTCAACCATTTCTAAACACCTTAGACTACCCTCCTCTCAAGTGGATAGCACTGCTGGCAAACTAACCAAATGTCCTAGCTAATTTCAGTTCACTGCTGAGTCATTTATAAAATAACTAATTCCTATAGTCCAAACCTGCTTTATTGCTATAATGCAATAATAATTCAGTATTTTCCAGAAATAGAGATGTAAATGGGGATATATTCAAGTTTCTTTTCTTACACGCCTCTCTGTCACACACTAAAAATGGGACAGCAGAAGTTTAGGGAAATTTGGCCAAAACCTAAAGCATTAATAGTATCATTACAAACTAGCACTAAATAAGATTACATAAGTATCCATATGCTTCTGCTTAAAGACAACAGCATATGCCTTATATACCATTCACTGGTCACGATCTGTGTCAAAGCAAAGCAAAAGGAGTGGGAAGAGAATGTGGATAATATACTGCCTGAAATGGATGCTAGAACTGGTGTTAACTTGCTGTGTGCACTTCTGCCTGGCTTCTTGTGCTTTCTCAGACTCATAGATTTCTGTTTCCATTCATTTCAACCAGTGACCTGCTTACAGACCATTTTAAGGATATTAAAGGTGAAATACCCTCTGGTTGTCAGAAGCAACACTTCTGAAAACTGAAATGGTGGTACCTCTGAAGTACCAAGAAACTGGTAAGGAACTAACAATTCAATCATAATGAGAGAAAGAAAACCAGCAACAGCATGAGGAAAATGAAGGTGAAACTGTAAAGACCTAAGAAAAAATATCTACCAACCCAAAAGAAAACTGAAATTTCCAAAGTCCTGCTTCTGCTTATTACAGAAAAAGGGAAAGAGCCTGAAAATTCTGCTGACTGATGCTCTTTTCGTGACTCACTGTGTCTGGCATTCTTAGAGTGAAGGTGTCATTCAGTAACAGGGGAAAAACAAACCATTAGCTTCTCCATGCCTGCGGTTTGCAAAGCAGGAGTTCAGCGTTACTGCAGCGTAATGCTACACTCTCCTGTTGTTAACATGGATGCAAGCCGATTATTGCTGTAAACAGCCCATAACATGAGCTTCATAAGCACATCACCTGTGCCCATCTTCCGAGGAGAGGGCACGTTGCCTGGTGATATTCTCCACCCTTGTTCAGACCAGCACTAGTGATCACTGGTGTTGCACAGTGAGCTTCAGACATTCATCAGAGGATTAGTACATACTTTATGCTCTAAAGCTGAAGTGGGAAATCAAGCACATACAAATGACTCCCTCACGAGTCTCACTGACAGAAACTGCAGTGGATAAGCAGAAAACCTGGTGCTTGGGTTTGGAGGGTCCTCTTAGTTTGGATGACCAAGTTTAGATACCCGGGAGGCACCGCAGCTTCAAGGAACCTCACTGTGATTCCCCGAGTAGCTCTACCAAAAAGTGCCTCTGACTGACTTTTCCCACTGTCCCACCAATTCACGCAGCTCCTGAAAACCTCTGAACAGTGTCCAAAGGCACTTTCTGGGAAGCAGGGCTGGGTTTTTTTGTTACCTTAATTGCTGAACATAAATCTTGGCCATTTTGTCAACCTTCAGTTTCTCAAATCAGCAGCATCCCTGTTTCTGAGCTAATACTGAAATTTAACTCAGCCCTTTCCACAGGAAGCAACCTTTAACAAATAAATTTACAATTCAAAGTCTTAAGTGTTGAATTTCATGAAACGGACCTGGGGGTTCTGACTGACAGAGCTGAACATGAGCAGCTGGTGCCCAGAAGACAAGAAGTCACCAGCTTCCTGGCCTGGATCAGCACCAGTGCAGCAGCAGGGCCAGGGCAGGGATTGTTCTTCTGTGCTGGGCACTGGTGAGGCTGCACCTCAAAACCTGTGTTCAGTTCTGGGCCCCTCACTGCAAGAAAGACACTGAGGTGCTGGAACGGGGCCAGAGAAGGGCAACGGAGCTGGTGCAGGGCCTGGAGCACAAGTGTGATGGGGAACGGCTGAGGGACCTGGGGGGTTCAGTCTGGAGAAGAGAAGGCTCAGGGGGGACCTGATCGCTGCCTACAACTGCCTGACAGGAGGTTGTAGTGAGGTGGGGTCGGTCTCTGCTCCCAAGGAACAAGGGACAGAACAAGAGGAAACGGCCTCAAGCTGCACCAGGGCAGGTTTAGATGGAGCTGAGGAACAATTTCTTCCCCAGAGGGTGCTCAGGCATTGGAACAGGCTGCCCAGGGCAGGGCTGGAGCCATCGTCCCTGCAAGTGTTCACACATGGTATAGACGAGGCCCTTAGTGCCATGGGTTAGTGGTGGCCTTGGCAGTGCTGGGGAATGGTTGGACTTGAGGTTCTTGAAGGTCTTTTCCAACCTTGTTCATTCTATGATTCTAGGTAAGGCATGAAAAAAGATATTACATGGGGTCACATAGACTGATACACTGAATAAGCCTGTAATCACAGAATCATCAATCAGTGTACACTATCATCTGTTTTGGTTCTACTGTCCATAAAAAGAGACAGGGAAAGAATCAAACAGCAATTTTGCTTTTTTACAGGAGTCCGTTTTCATTAAGAGACACATGATATTTAAAGCCTGTGCTAGGATATTTGGAAATTACACACAAGAATATATATGAAAAAAACACATCAATTTACTTTCAACCAGTCAATTATTAAAAGCAGATGGATGTTGCAAAAATAAGTTAATTCATGTTTTGGAGCCCTCAGAGAGTGTACTGAAGAATGGCACAGCAATGTTAATATGGAAATTAATATATCTGGAGCTTGAATAATAGAGTTCATATCGCTACATAAATCTGGGGGCAGCAAACTGAGCAACTGTGGGTAGAACACAGCATTGCATACATGTTGATTCAATAAGTCCTTTCATCTTGTGGAGTGAGTAAGGCAAAATTCCCATAGGAAAAAAATGGTACATAAGCATGCAACTACCTGAAAACGCAGTCCTCATCTTCTGGAATTTTTAAACTTTCAAAGTCTTTTAGGTTTATCATGTCAGTGTTGCATAGCTGCTTATATGTGTGGATGTCTAATTCTCTAGGTTTAATTCAAACATCCACATAATTATAATGTGGGATTATATCATATACCACATCCAGATCTGTACCACAGCTCTCTGACAAGAGAACAAACAGTAACTAGCAGGAGAATTAAGCTGACATCTGTAGAGAGGATGCTAAATACATTTGGCCATTGGGTTTCTCAGCTGGAGTCATCCTGGAGAAACCATTGTGGGTACTGCTTCTTTTGCCGTGTCTTTTTCAGCCTATTGCTCTGCTAAGCCCTTTCTCCCTCTCCTCACTTCTAAATTTGACTCTTCCTGCAATCTTTTGTTGGCTCAGCTCCTTCTTCTCACAGAATTCTTCAGCTCAGTCCCTAGCTATTCTCAGTCTTGCTTCTCAGCTACCTATACCATTTGCAGTGTCTCCCTATGCCAGATCTAGGTGCCTCCCTTCTTACTCTTCTTTTACTTTCCCTCTTCTCTGAGTTGCCTGTACCTGTCTTCCTGAGGAAAACTCCTCCCTACATCAGTGCTTCGTCTCTTCATAGTCTATTACTTTTTTCAAGTTTTCCAAAGTTGCAGCCTCACGGCTCTTCCGAACTGCCTAGCTCTCACGTCTCTGTTGAAGCTGAAGGTCACACTCCGTCTCCCCTCTCAGCTGTTCCAAGGTCTTTATCAATTCTGTGATTCCTATATGCAAAACCCAATCGTACCACGTTGGCCTCACCTAGCACCTGCTCCCCAGTTCCAGCCTTCCTTTCCTACACTCCAATTTCTTCTCTCCTTAGGCCTCCTGTCTTTCTTACAGTCTGCTCCTTCTTCAGTGTTTTTGGTCATTTCACTGCAGGGGCTGTGTATCAACAGCAGGAAGACAAAAAGACTGGCATATCTTCAGTACTTTCTATCACAAAATGGTCCCCAAGAGCCAGACATTTCAAAAAGCAACTTACCTTAAGCAGGCTTGCAATACCAAGATGAAGCTGCGTATGTGGAAGTTTTCGTTGTCATATTTTATCAAGGTTTCCACTGACCATGTGTGAATGGAGTTTTTCAGATGTACACAACCTGGTTAAATGAAGTCAAAAGAGAAGGGGGTTACAGACTTTATAATGGTTGCTAGTTTTATAGGCAATAAACAGTATGTTTCTCCTTTTCATTTTCCTTTGGAAAAATACAACCACACATTTTCAAACAATGGAAATCTGTTAATAATTGTCACATCATTGTCCATTGCTATTATGATCCAAGTAAAGACCCATTGTACTAAGAATTACAACTGAGATATTAAGTAAATCTGTTACAATCACTGTTCTTACTCCAGATGTACCCACATAAACTATTAAGACTGGATTGCAAGTAATGTTGAAATCTACTGGAAGGTAAAAGAGTTCAAAACAATGGGTAGATTATCTTCAAAAGACAAAACAAAAAGACCAGGGCTCTAGGTGGATAAAGAGATGAAAAGTTAGGATGGCAGTATTTACTGCATATATGTTGATGCCAGAATTAAAGGGTTATCCACAGGGCTTATTGTAGACAAAATAAATGGTAGGAATATGAATAAAGTTAGCATGAATCACTGTATTGCCGATGCTCCTTCTTAATAATTCAACAAAATTCAGTAAGAGTATCATGAAGTTCATTAGTATAGGCTGCAATAATTACCAACCTAATACCCGAGGTAACAAACAACTTATCATTTAATGGGTGTATCAGGAAATAAAGAATCATTAACAGGGAGTATCCAGAAGTTATCTCTGAATGAAGCTCACAGAGAAGCTAACTTATCAGTATTATCTGTGTCTATTTCTAGACAACATATGTCAAGATACATAAAAATTTGATGTGAGCTTTGAACTCCTGGCAAATGTCAGCATAGTCTTAATGCACCTTTGGGATAACAAAGAGTAGAACAAAGACTGATCCAGTAACGTGGGTCTGATTTCCAGAAGAGTGTCTGTGTAACCTGTTATTTTGGCATCTGCAACAGATTAGAAGTAACAGTGTTGAGATTCAGGAGAGAGGTTTTCAAAGGCATCTTACTGCACTGGCTTCAGGTGGGATTTGTATACTCACACCCTCCCCTCCTATCCCTTTGCAAATGCTTCTGTGATCCTCTATCAGTCAAGTCCTATAAATATGTATCAAAGTATTACTGTTATGGTTATCTAGCAACCTAAAAATACAATTATTAAGTATATTCTCTCTTCATTATCTTTAATTTACACTAAGCTGTGGTGAACCACTTAGATACAATCTTTAGATCCCCATTACTTTATGGCAGAAAAACAGTAGCTGGCCTCAAAGCGGATGGTCCTCCAACCTCCTACACTGTAAATATGCTGTAAGTAAGAAGATGAAGTAACTATTCCCAATTCTACTAGGAACTTATTTTCTGGTGAGACAAGGAAGGATGGAAGAACATCACCTTTCTCTAGAAAGCTGTCACAAAATTCTGCCCCACCAAAATCAGTACTGGAAAAGGGGGTTGTCTTGTCCTTTGCTCACTGCATGCAGGCTGGGTAGAAACTTGTTCTTTGGTTTTGCTATAAACCACAACATATCTGTTTGCAACACAACAGGAGCTCTGCTATTATAGGTTGTTTTTTACAATCATCATAGTTACTGTTGCTGCAGAGAATCCTAGCACTGGCTCTCCACTGTACCTGTACTGTGCTTGAAGAATTCATGAATCCTTAACCACAGTCTTTCAGATTAGGTGCTGATCACAGAAATAGCCAGTGCATTGTTAATTATTCAGTAGTGGACTGGAACTCTGTATTCCTTCTGCGGTTCAGAAATTGGATGGTAAGGAGAGACCTTGCTCTCTAGATTGGAGGTGGGCTGACCTTGTATGCAAATGACAGTATTTAAGCTGACAAGGTCAGGCTGATGTTCTTCAGATGAAAGATCCAGAAGTAATGAAGGTGAGTTTGCTTCTCCAAAGGGGATTGCAGCAACCTAACATTCTATCTTTCAGGAACGCATCAAAGCTATGCTTTATTATTCTTATTTTAATAATGACAATGGATGTAAACGGCTGCTTGCTCTCTAAGTGACTGGGAAATGTAAAGGTGAAACACCACCTGTGTCACAGCCAACAATAAAACTGCCATTGACATTAATGGAGTTAGAATTTTATTCTTTCTTATTTTTTTTATGGCTTTTTAAAATAAAACTGTAAGCTTTAAAATTGGAAGATGGTGTTAAGCCCCACGATTTTTGTATTCCAGGCTTTCCACAATCTTTAGGTAAACAGAAAACGAAGAAACATCCAGTAGTAGCAGCTCACATGAAACAATGACCAAGAAACCTAGAATGCTGTTGTCTACACACAATTATCATTTCACACACGCTTTACAATTAAACGGTTATGAAACCCTGATCTACTTCAATTTCTGGAAGATACGTTCCCATGTTGTACAATATCATTTCCATAACTTCCTGTCTCAACTGCTAAACACACCTTTCCTGCTTGCTTGCTTTCTGAATAATTTCAAAGTTATTATTCCATTTTCTTTTGGATCTTCTCACTCTTAATCTGTATCCTCTTTTCCTTTTACCATCCTACTGCATTATAACCAAAGGCAACTTCACTACTCACCCAAAAGCATGTCCAAAAATAGAGGTAGCGTCTAAAGGAAAATAGACAGTAAACATATAGCTCATTGCTGAAATACTATTTTGAGCTGAAGAAATATGCTGAAACACAATCTATGTTGTCAGATTGAAATTTGGCTATGAAAATATTGACTACTAGTCCGTTATACCAATTTCATTATGGAAATGTCATTCTTTGGCCTCAAGCAATAAACATCCAACAAGCTATTGCTTTGCTTGCTGTTTTACCTACCCTATCCTAACAACACAAAAGCACTAAACCCAGCACAAAACCCCCAGAACAAAATAACCCTCAAAGCCAACTAACCAAGGAGAACAGAAAAAAATCCCTCCAAGCCTCTCCAAAACCTCTTCCATGCAAAGAAAATTTCCTGAATCATATCACTTCCATCTGAAATTACATTTCTGCAGTTCCTAGTATGTCAATACAACTTTTTCACCCTCAAGGCTCTGTGCCCAAAAAGTAATTAATCATCTTCCTCAATGTAATGTAATTTTCCCATTACCGCTATTTTGGACTCAGAGGACCAGAGTTATCAGAAGAAGGACTAACTGGGATTTGAATATTTTACATAAAATATATTACAATAAAATTAATAAATTAATAATTGAAAATTAGCAATATACTGTGATTTTAATTATTTTTTTTTCTCTTAAAATACAACTAGTTCTATTTATTCCTCAATTCTCTCTTGGCTGAGGGACCTGGGGCGTTCAGTGTGGAGAAGAGAAGGCTCAGGGGGGACCTGATTGCTCCCTACAACTGCCTGAGAGGAGGTTGTAGTGAGGTGGGGTCGGTCTCTGCTCCCAAGGAACAAGGGACAGGACAAGAGGAAACGGCCTCAAGCTGCACCAGGGCAGGTTTAGATGGAGCTGAGGAACAATTCCTTCCCCAGAGGGTGCTCAGGCATTGGAACAGGCTGCCCAGGGCAGGGCTGCAGTCACCGTCCCTGCAAGTGTTCACACAGCGTGGAGACGAGGCCTCGGTGCCATGGGTTAGTGGTGGCCTTGGAGTGCTGGGGAACGGTTGGACTGGGCGAGCTTGAAGGGCTTTTCCAACCTGGTTGTTTCCATGATTGGCAAACTGTAAGAACACTATTTTAAAGTAAAGGCATGGTAAGCTCATATGTTCTAATGAGTCATGTTCCAAAACACTTACATCTTTAGGCATTTTAAGGCAAGCGTGTCAAGCTGTTACAATGCTGCTGTAGTTTACACTGTCTTTGGCAAGTCTTATGTCCAGTACAGAATGAGGGAAGCTGACGGAGAGTTTAATGGTCCCGTAGGAACTTCTTCTGGTGGCCACACAACAGCACAAACCAGGGTTCAGCCACATTTAACGCACCATAAGATGCTGCTTCGGCAACTACACAACCACTCACCTCACCTCACCTCACGCCTGAGGCGACGAGCCCGCGACGTCCCCACCGCCCGCCGGCGGCTCTGCGCATGCGCCCGGCGGCACCGCTCCGGCTCCCGGCAGGGCGGGGTAAGGAGGGCGCGGTGGCTGGGGTCGCGTGAACGAGCGTGTCAGCTGACCGCATCTCGTGACGGTGCCGGGCCCGACGGCGGCTGCGTGGGGAGGGCGGTCTCGGTGCCGGAGCTAAGATGGCGGCCTCCAGCGCCAGGCGCTGAGGGAGCTGGAGCGGTGTAGCGGCTGCCGCCGGGGCAGCTGAAGGCTGAGGGGCGAGGGCTCCGCTCAGCAGCCCTTCGCCCTTATCGCCGGCAGCGGCGGGAAGTGCGGTGCTGGTTGGGGGCAGGTCCGGGCAGCGCAAGGCTCCCCGGCCAGGTAAATCCCAGCGGCGGGGGAGGTGAGCAGGAGGAGGCGGCGGTGTGTCCCTCCCGCTGCCTCCTTACAGCCCCGGGCGGGCCGTTCGGCACCGAGGTGCTGTCGAGGCCTTGCGGGTGAGGGCGGTGTGGGGAGCGCGGCAGCGCTCTGCCGCCGGGGACAGATGCTTACGCCCGCGAAGCCCCCCCGTGTCTTGCCCCAGGCATGGAGGGGCGAGGGGCGGGCTTCGGGGGGCGGCTTGCGGCGGTGAGCAGCCAGCTCCTCCCCTGTTGTGGAACCTGCTTTATTGCACTCCCGAGCCCTTCTCTTCCTGTATCGCCGAGCAGGGGAATGGCTGGGCTTTTCTCCAGCCTCAGCCTGCCTGGTGCTTCAGTGCTCTGTGCGTGATGCAGCTTCTGTAGCCGTGGGGCAGAGTTTGTCGCTTTCCTAGATGAGCACTAGCGTGTCCAGTGAGAAAAGATATGTTACTTTTTGCCTTCAGGCCTCAGATCAAAATATACCCTTCATGAGATGCTCTGGGAAGAGTGGGAGACACAAGAAGGAGACTTGCTCTCACGAAGATGAGATTTTATGTCTTTTTTTGAGTGGTAATAATATGCTTGAAGAGCATGAGTAGAACTACATGTGTCTTTCAGAAAATCTGCCCTTAATGTGCTTATTTTTCCAGAGGTTTCTGAATCTCTCCCCTGGATGCTTTTTACTTGATTTTTTTTTTGCTTTCCTCAAGGCAAAACAAATCAACATCCTCAATGGTTTTCTGCCCGCAGTGAGCTGCATGCAGCCTTTGAGATAGATTTTCTTTTCCTGTCAGGTGCTGTGGAGCTTGCACCTTGATAGCTGTCTCTGCTGAGGGCCAAGCTCTGAGCTGTACAAATGTGCTTAGTGCTTCACTTGGGGTGGGGAGGGTTTGTTCTGTTTTCAGCTTAGTGCCCTCAAGCCCAATGAATGTTTGAGCGTGCTGTTCAGAGGGAAATGTAGGCATATACATTTATTTAGAGCCTTGCTGTTAGTGCAGCTATTCTCTGTTCCGTGGTTGCTTTTGAAGTTAATGTAATCTGAAATGTATTTTTGCTTGCTCTCTTGTGCTCTTTCAGGAATCAGATCTATGGCAGTGAGTCTGAGAAGCTGAGTAGGTAGCGGCTGTGTTTTCTATTGCTTAGCACCAATTAAGTAATACTGTGTTTCACAAAATAGGCCTTGCTTTGGAACTGAAATACTTTGAAGCCAAAGCCTTTTCTTGTTAATTAAGACTGTCTGTGCAGGCCACTTGCATGCAGTGACGTCCACAGGAAAGGAGGAAGGCTGTTGAAGGGATGCTAGTGGCTGAAGTTTTGTCTTTGAATTGGGTTAGGAAGATGCTGTTCAAACAGTCTGCCGTGGTTTGGTTCAAAATAACAGGACCAGTGTTATAGATGTAAAAACTATGCTTGGTTCTAGTTGGCTTCAGTTTATAGATCTGCATCTTGGTCTGATTCCTGCCTGCTAAAGGCAGCCAAGTGCCAAAACACTTAACCAGAGATTACCGACTCCTTTCTGTTACTGCTGACAGGCTTTTTCCACTTGCAGATTTCAAAGTGTTTGGAGACTCAGAGCTGAGGATCTGTCCCTGGGTAGTACAGAGTTTCCAGGAACTTTACCTTGCCTTTTAGCCTTGCTGGAATAAACTTCTCGGAAGGTTTATTTCGTATGTGCAGCTCGCTCCTCTGGGAGTCACGGTGGTATTTTTCAGCTTCCAAGCACGTATTTGTCCTCAGGGACTGAATCACTGGGAATTTCCACATTCGAAGCAGTGTGCTGGGGATTGGTCTGAAGGGGCAGATCTGTGTTTCAGACTGAGCTGGTGATTTGAGGCTCAGTAAGTGAAGCTTCCTGAGGTAATGAAGTAATTCTTCAGCTGGCATTCAGCTGTATCTTGCAGTGTTAACTTTCAACTATTCAACCTCTTGATTTGCATCACAAAAATACTCTCATGCCATAAAAAACTTACCAATTATCCCACCTCACTAGTAAGACTTAAAAATAGAACAATTTTTTTGAGAAATATGACAAGATGGTCAAAACATGACTGAAAAGGAGCACTTTTTTTTTTCTTCCTCCTGTTAGCGAGTAAACCATTCTATTCTGACCCTGACCTGCCTCGCTGGGGAATGAGACTGGTTCCTTGATACAGCAGCATGCTAATGTAGATGGAAAAGCATTCTGGTTGTCCTCAGTGAGGGAATGGGGCAGTCAGCTGGAGGATGGACCATCACTTCTAGTAGTAGTGAGGTTGAAATTCTCAGCCCATTTGCAGCCTGGACCACTGAAGTAGGCGATGCTGATGAGTGTGGCAGACTCTGCTAATCCTCTCTTAAGGATCTGGTGGGTCTCTTGTCTTTCTCCTTCCCTTACAAAAAGGGCTATGCGTTCCTGCACAACAGTTAAGAAATGTCAGCTTCCACAGGCGATGAGGCTGTAATACTTAAAGCGCAGAGTTCCTGTTTAGGGACAAGGAAAAAGTTTAGTGTTTGTTAAAAAGAATCTGGCAAAAGGCAAACCTGCCACTTAGCACACACAGCACTAAAAGAGGCAGATGGCTAAAGCATTTTGGTGCAGAAAAATCATGTATTTAAAGAATGCCTTTAAAGCTCCTTGAGTAGATGACTGGAAATGAGGCTTCAGACCTTGAAGCTAAAAGGCAGGTGTGTAGAACCCCAGAACCTTGGTGGATTTTTTTCAGTGCTTTGCTCTCATTTCTTTCCAATTGGTCCTTGTTTTTATATTCTTGCTATGTCTTCTCTCTGAGAAACCACACTTGAGCTTGATGTGAGGATCTGTACCTGTGTCATATAGACCTTTCAGGAACTCTACCTTGTGTTTTAGCCTTGCTGTAATACTCCTGCCACCCCAGTGGAATAGAGGAGTAATCCTGTGTGAAGCTTTGAAGTGCTACCTTAGCATAGGTTAAACCTGCACTTAAAGATACAGAAGCTTTGTAATAGCAGAGGAATCATATAATCAGAAAAAAACTGAAATCTTAAGTACTGCACTAAACTCTGTGGACCTGTGTCCACACTTCTCACTGTTTAAGCTGAGGGATGTATGTATAATTACAGCTCTGCCTCTTGCTTTGATGCCTGCAAGGTCACAGCTTTGTTTCTAACTCTCCATTCGTTAGTTTGAGACTGACTTGGCTCTGTTTCCTGAAATAGCTTCTGTTTCCCAGACAGTGGCTTTGTCTGAAGAATGTGAAATCCTGGAAAACTGGGAAGCGTATGCAAGTCGAACACACCTTGTGTAATATACCTATCTGTATAGCTTAAACTCTGAGGCAAGGGGGGGTCCTGGCAGCAGTTCAGGCCCTCTCACTTTGGCGGTTGCTAGTTCTGGTACAGGCAGCTTACAGAAGTGTGGTTTCAGGTTTTTTCACCAAAAAGCTGTTTCACTCCTATTTGCAGTACTACAAGATTCAAGTAGGAAAGTATTGTTGAACTTCTGTTTTGTGGAAAAGCTAATTCAAATATCCACGTACTAGGGAGTGCTGTAGTTAGGCACCCAAAAGGAGTTGCTCGCTCTTCCTCAACCAGATGAAACCTGTTCATAAGCTGCTACTTCCAAAGTACTTGTTGCTTCTACCCAGTGGAAGTAGAAGTCTGAACTAGGTGTCTCTAGTATTAAACTTTTGAGAGCCATCAATATCAGATAGCTGATGGCTGTGCTGCAAAATGTGCAAAATAACCTTAGAAGTTGTGGTTTTCTATTGTCAGGTATCCCAGGATGCTAAGATAGTCACTAAAATTGGGGCCTTTTTGTCCTGGATAAGTCTATGAGTGAAATAAAGAATTTAACTCAATTTTTATGTTGGTCAACTTCTTAAAGGTCTCTTGAGTACAGAAAGAGGAGGTAAAGGGGAGCCAGGAGGCTTTCTTATTTTGGAAAATTAATGTGATATGACCACTATAAGCAGGCCACTATCGCTTACGCTGGTAATAAGGCTGAACTTTGTGAATACTAAAACCTGATGTGCTCTGCAAAGTCAATGGTAATTCTATCTTTGGTACTGAAATTACATCATAATTTGATTATCTACATTGTAGATAGTGTAGTAAAAGCGATGCTACGCTGCTTTTGCCAGAATGAGGGAAGGAAGAGAACTTCCTGGTTTCTTCTGAAATGTTTTTGTCTTTGGGATGAACTATTTCCTTTCATCTTGCTCTTACTGTGGAACCAAAGACAACTGAAAAATGATTGCTGGGCTTCAACGCGGCAGCTCAGAACACTGGGCTATTGTTAGCCTTGTTCTCTGTTAAACTGCAGGAAGATGTGTGCAAGAATTAATTGTTACTAGATTTTGGCATATATTGTCTCTGTGTTAAAGTCTTCTCAGTGGGAGACAGAGTTACAATCACTGTCCAGAAGAGCAGTGAGTAACGCATCAAAGCTTTATCATTTGAATAGTTTCCATTAAATAAAAAAAGCAATCTAGGGAATTTGTCACTTCACTGCATGTACAGTACTTCATGTAGCAGTATCCTGAAGCTAGTGACGTGCTGGTGTTAAAGCCAAGGGAAAGTAATGGAGGTTCATAAAATGAGTGTTTTTCAGTTCAGTATTAAGACCAGATGTTTGCAAGTGGGAGAACATCTTGCTTTAAATATTCTCCAGCAGGTAGCATTCAGGTCTGGGAGACTTAATAGAGCTGGTCAGAGGAGTCTGGTATTAGTGAACCTGGAATTACAGCAAAATAGATCTTATAATCCTATGCTTAGTGGAGCTAGTCTTGTTATAAGCCTTTTATTTTATTTTTACTAACACATTAGTTAATGTCAAGAAAATGGCTTGAAAAGAGGGTTATTGGGATTGAGTATCTGGCACTGTGTTCTGAAAGATAACTTCAGATCTGATAATTTTGTATTTTAATGTGTCCTGCTCTCCAGCAATATCTGTGTAGTTGGGACACACGGAGTGTAGTGTTTTGATGCTTATCCATGGCAATTACAATGCAACGTAGTTCTTAAAGTGGGCAGAATGGAGGAGTTCAGGTATATGTATATATGCTCTTGGATATCTACCCCTCCTGAAATTTTGTTCCCAAAAACTGGATTTAGAGAATTTAACTTGCCACAAGTCAGTGGGGGATTAACCTTGAAAGCTTGACTCAAAAATTGAGTCATTGAAATGTGCAAATACCTCTTTTCTCCTTTTCCAGCAGCAGTACCACCAGTTCTCTCCAGTAGGTTGTGATGATTGTGCTGGTCATTCACCTGGGGGCAGGAATTCTCAAGTTCTTTTCTGCCAGGCTCTCCATTCTCGTGTTCATGACTATGTAATGACTACAGCAAGACAGCAAGAAAATAGCCTGAAGTTGCAGAGGATAGGAATTAGCAATGAGCTAATGTTACAGGTCATCCATCTCAAAATGAGAAACCTTCCTTTGCTGAATCAAGGAAAATTAGCTGAATGTAAAAAGATAACTGGGGTTAGGTCTAACTTTATAGCAGGGCTGGGACCGGATTACTTCAGCATTGCTTCAAGCAAGCTATGGATATGAATTCTTGCAGAGTAGCTTCTGCTCCATGTGCGACGTAGTCCATGCATTGTCTGATGAACAAGTATTCCTGATATTTTTTGTTTGGAATTGACATAGCAGTGACTTGAGTTTTCAAGAACAAAGTCTTTTTGTCTTGAAGCATATTGATGATGAGTGAACTTTGCTTTTAAATGAAAATCATGAGTACTAACAGGATGTATCTTTTGTTCTCAGGGCTTGGCACAGCATGAATATAATTCGAGAAAACAGAGATCTTGCTTGTTTCTACACAACAAAACATTCATGGAGGGGAAAGTAAGTGGTTTAAAGTTTGGGGGTTCTTTTAATGTTTTGTGTGTAATTTCTCCTCTCCAGTATTGGATTTTACTGTGTAGTTCCTGTATTGATGGATGGAAGTTGAACTACAGGCGCCTGCTGCTCAGCCTGTGAACTGAATCTTCACTAGAATCAGTTTTGTGGTTTAGCCTTCCCCTGCCCATGTTCCCACACTCTGTAGCTCTGGAATGAACCACCTGACTTACTCAGCTTCTGAGTCTCTTGAAAGTACTGTATAAAGCGCTAATTTTAAAGTGGAAATGCTGCTTCTTGGAACAGGTTCTTGGAGGAGTAGTATGTTATGTATAGATGAGCATGATCAGTCCATGCATATACTTAACACGTTGTGTAATAGATTATCTACCCAAGTACTAGTTGGGATTGAAGAATTCTGTTACTACAAATAAACTTCAACCCTAAAGGGGGTCTGGAATCTATAAAATGATTTTTCAGTGATGCATCTGACCGCAGAAGCTAGGGAACTTCTAATAAAGCTGTCCATTAAATTGTCATAGCTGTTAGGCTGAGTACATATATACATAAAGCTTCATAGGTTTTTCCTTGGTATCCTTACTGCTTGTTCCTTCTCACATGCATAGTAGTGCTGTGGAACTGGGGTTTTTCCTTGCTACCTAAACATCAACAGAACCAACAGGGTGTGTTGTCTGCACTTCAGGAGCATGAGTACAGTTTTATTCTAATGACAGCGCTAAGAGATGATGTTGTTTGACCAATGAGATGAAACGGATTGGGTTCTTTTGGGTTTGGTTTTCTTGGAGTTTTTTGTTGTTGTCTGCTGATAAATACTTCATGAAGTTTTCCTATCAGTTTTTGGGAATCCTGGGAAGGAAAGGAGGATGGGATTGCAAGGAGTGGCAGCCACAGATCTTTCTCAACTGTTCTTTGAAGAACCATGAGATTGCTTTAGTGTCTAATCAAATTGCTCCCTGCCTCTGTCAGCAAAACTTAAAGCCCTGCGTAGTTCGGAGTCGAGACTAGACTGAGCATCTCTCTTGAGGGCAGAATCTTTCCTTTATCAAGACAGGTTCTTGATTGACTTGAAATCAGAAGTTTAGTGCTTAGTTTTACCTCAGCACTTCTGTAAATTGGGTCCTACCCGAGTTAAGATCCATGCCTTTAGGTTTGTGTGGGCATGGGTGAAGAAACAGTTTCCTTCACTAATAAAATGATATTAGGGTGGGGTAGAATGTTAGGACAGCTTGTCCCTCCTAATCTTTCTGTTGCCCAGCAGAAAATACCTGATGTCCTCTTCTGCAGTTCCTGTGGCCTGTATGCAAGCCTAGCGTGCGTGTGATTTGAGCCACTTGGTGAAAATTAGATAGAACTCAGATTGCTTCTGCTACCCAATGCCTCCCATTAAAGAGCCTCTTCCTACATGACGCAGGTTGTTGAAGTTAGAGTAGTATGATCTTGAACTTTGGCAGTAGTGGTCTGATAAACTGTGAAGTATTCTAGAACTTCTCACTAAGTCTAAAGTCTACAACAGAGGCTAGTTTAAAACTCAGTGACCCTTTACTTTTCACATAATGAAGGGGAAAGCAGTATCTTGTGAGCAGCTGCCTCATGTTGCAGCAGAAGCTTATATGGCTTTTAGTAAGCTAAGATTTAAATATTTAAGTCCACTCAGTTCATAGTTATAATCTCAGTATAATCTATGGATAACATAAAAAAAGGCAGTAACTTAATGTGTAGTGCTAAATGGCCTGAATCTCTTCATGGGCTGCATGCATAGCAGTTAAAGTATTTTCTAATAGCACAGATGATGGTGCTCCAGTGTTTTTCTGTTGTTCTATAAAATTAATGAATGCTGTCTTTTGAATGTGGTGGTATAAAATTTGTCTACCAGGTTGATCCTGATTAGAAAAGTATGACTTCTAGAGTGCTTGGAAGGAACTAGTGAGTAATCAAACGCCTTTTTACTGGGAGGAGGAGATTTGCTTCAAATTCTTCTTCTCAAAGCAGCCTAGTATTAGCCTGTACTGCAGACTATGAGAGAGAATTAATAGTAAGCCTTCAAGGCCCAGAGATATAAATACCTTTCTGTGTATTTAGAGGTGAGGTTCTGGACAGGAGTATGTTTAAGCATTCATGAGAACTGACTTCTGAGTCTCCTCTGTTCCTGCAACAAGACTTGGGTCTTCTGCATTTACCTACAGAGAGGAAATGAAAGAAATGGTAACTCAGTAAACCTGCTGTTCTGTCTTGTGTTCCTTGTCACATCACTTATTAAGAATACTGGGTAATCAATATGCTTCCTAGATGTTGAAATGCTGGCTTGAGCATGAGGGGAGGAAGGGTAGAGGCTGTATGGAAGCTAGTCTTCAGTTACGTGTGCTCATTGCATATCCTTATTCTGCCACAAAGCACTGTGAAGCTCTTTAGTATGGTGAGTAAACAACTAATCTTAAACAAGTACTGAAGTGCTTTATTACTTGTGATAAGTTCTTTAGAGTAGGATAAAGAAGCCTTATTTGTAAATTATATAAAAGACACAACACCTGCCTAAATTGTGCAACAAGAGAGGAGGGAAGAGTTGGGGTGCTCAAAGGATTTTCTTACCTAAGAGTTGGAGCATTCTTTGACAGACTGAATATAGTGGAATTATTAGCAGCTAGAGTGACTTCAAATGCTCTGCTTCATTGCTACAACTTCTTTTCGCCTGCATCTTAAATAAGGAAAGTTCAACTACATGGAAAGCCAAGCAGACTTTTCAAATAGATTAAACATCTTTAAGGTGGCAGGTCAATTCAGTATTACAGATTTTTTTTCTAAGCTTTGAAGAAAATAAGCACATGCTTTAATTCCTAGATAAATTCTTCTGGGCCAGTAATGGCTTAAACCTGCACCAGATTGAATAATGGAAAATGGTAGGGAATGAAATTTGTCAGATTGACTGTGTCAGGGAGATACTTTTGACTTTGCTATGCCTCAAATAACATGAGACAGCAGCTCTGAATGTATCCGAAACTCATGCAAAGTTTGACCTTGTATAGAAATGATGGCTTGTGCTGCAGACCTGGGATGTGAGAGAGAAGGGACTGCAATGCCAGAGTATAAAGAAGTGGTTTCTTGATGCATCTGATTAGTCTCCCATCTGCTTGGTCCTATCCCTAGCAAACCCACAGGTTACCAAGAACTGAAACTGTATTGCTTTTATTTGGTTCAAATTCAAGAAAGGCACCCATGTTTAGATTCTGATTCTTTGGTCAAAGAACACTTACTAGAACTGGTTCTGATTCAGGTTTTGCTTGGCTTTCTGGGCAGGACTGGTTCCAGATGAAGTCCCCTAAAACAAGAAGTTTGTACAAGTAGTAAGGATTTAGTGTAATCTTCTGTTTCAAACTGTGCTTAGTTATGTTGCAAAACTTTCTGATGCAGAAATATGTAAATAAGTCTCTATATAAAGAGATGGTTCAGGGTATGCTGTGAATGTTGTCTAGGAAATGAAACTGGTAAAGTTTCCATTTTGCTCTTGCTGTATCTGAATTTCTTAGCTTTAGCTCACTGCTGCTTGTTTCTGACATGCCTGAAATGCAAGCAGCTACCATGCTACACTGTTCTTTAAGCACTATAGCAGTTAAAATACCTGTGATATTGAGAGGCAATGACTAGCAGCATATTGCACTATTGCTTCAGCAATCTGAGTGTCTCTGAGTTTAGTAACCCTAATTTTCCTCAAGGTGAAGACAATCAGGCTTGGCCATAGGAACACTTTGACTTGTTACAGTATTGTGAACGGGTGTGTGAATTGGATTATTTCATGTTACAGTTGTAGTCTGAGACAGCTTCAGACAGATGCTTTAGAGTATTGCAGGGACCATTTCCAATCTGTGTAGGGTTTTTTTTTGGTGTGTTTTTGTTTGGTTTGGGTTTTTATTATAATTTTTCTGATCTGGTAGTACCTTTCAGTGCACGTTCCAAGAGTCTTTGGTCCTGACTTAGCTGGTAACTTGGGAGAAGATATGCATAAGGAAATATATTTAGTAGTATTTTAACTTGTATGTGCCCTTTAAGGCTATATAGAACAGAGGAGCTAAAGAAAATTCCATATCAATTTCCTGACAGTGATTTGTGTATAGCTTCAGCAGGGTTTTTCTGTGACTTCTGGAGAAACTAACATTCTTCTGTGTTCTAGGTATAAGCGAGTCTTTTCAGTAGGAACCCATGCCATCACCACATACAATCCCAACACGCTAGAAGTTACAAATCAGGTAACTATCATCTCTAAAGTTGATTTCTGACTTGCATTCACCATCCAGAGTGAATAGTGGCATTCGGGGGTCAGAAACTATCTAGTCTGAGATCTTGGCAAAACCAGAACAGAAAACTGGTGCTGCCTTCACTAACTCTACAAATATCCAGTGGGCTTTGTACTTTCAGGCAATTTGTCTTTATTGGCCAATAGGTAGTAGTTTGCTTTTGGGTGTGCTGTTCTGAATGAACTGGTGTAAGTTTGATCACTCTAAATCTATGTCCCTGGAGGGAGTCAGGGCAGTTACTTACTTTGCAGAGTGTCAAATAGGAAGCTCAAGCTAAAGCTGTCACGTAGCATGCTAGCTACTGTTTCATTACAGCAACTTACTCAGTTATTATAGGTACTAAGTGGCTTTGAGTGGAGGAGATGGAGCTTTACAATTACTAACAGGGTAACCTAATTACTTTCAATTGTCTAGTGGCCTTATGGAGATATCTGTAGTATTTCCCCTGTTGGAAAAGGACAAGGAACAGAATTTAGCCTCACTTTTCGGAAAGGGAGTGGAAAAAAGTCTGAAACTCTGAAGTTTTCCACAGAGCACAGAACAGAACTCCTTACAGAGGCACTGGTAAGATGATTTTTTCTACAAGCAAGCAGTAAGTACTTGGTTATCGTTACAATTTGTGGTAGCTTCTTCTGCTTTGTTTCCTTACATAAAAGCAGGTTGTCTTTTGGTGTGTTACGTTAACGTACTTGTTCTAATGTCAGTTGCAGCAATTAATGCATGATTCTTAAATAGTAAAGCTGCAAATACTGACTGCATTGAACTGCAGTGAAATGGTGAGCTTTCAAGGAGGCTTAGTTCAAGTCCCTCAAAACAGGGTCAGCTTAAATGTAGGCTTTCTGGATAGATTTGCTGTCATTTGCATTCATTCATTTTTAACTTTCTTAAATACAGAGATTCAGGACAGACTTCTCAGAAGGAAAAATCACAGGAAGGGTGAGTGCCTGGCTTCTCTGGATCATTAATGAATGATCTCAAGACTTAAGCTACTTTGTTCATGTATGTGATGCTTGTGCTGTATACACTACTTAAAACACTTGCAAATTTGTATCTGAAGTCTTGCTTTGAGAAGAGAAAGTCAAGAGTTTGATCAAAAGCAATGGGAACCTTCTCAACAGTAGACTATTTGAGTTCTCTCCCTTTGGGCTAAGCCTTATGCGGTACACTTAAAGACTCTGAATGTTACTGCTGAAATAAATGCCTTTGCCACGTGGTGTTTTATTTGGAGAGAAGGAAGAGCTAAAACAGAAGCTTTGATTCATCATTCAGTGTTTACTACTTCCAACACTTTACTTTCCAACGCTGGATAATTTTCTGTGTAACATCCCGAATGCTTGGTGTGGGAATGTTGTTTCCTAGGAAGATTCCTGTACGTCAAATTAAAGACGAGATTGCTGTGTAATGAATCTTGGTTATGTAGCAATGATCAAGGCAGTACGGAGTTCTGGACTTGATATTTGGTTTTATGCCTTCCTGTCACAGAAGATAGCACTTATTGCATAGAACAGATCTTTAGTGATGAGCACAGCACGACTGCTGGAATTTGGGTTTCTCCTTTGTCTTGCTCTAGCTTTTGCTGTTTCTTAGTAAGTGTGTTTGTAAAGGAATGTGGCTGCAGAAGATGAAAAATACACAGTGTAGTGGTAAGCTTACCTTAATTTAGTTTGATTAGCTGAAAAACAGGACCTGGTGCAATAGGTATTTCCTTGTCTAACCACAGTGCGCATTATCTGTGAATAGATCACCTTCTGTAGCAACTTCCTCTTGGAGTGGCTGTTCTCTCTTCAGAATACATTATTAGAGCTGACTTCCTTGTCAGTCGACAGCTACTTGGATTCATAGTGTTCTAAACATAGATAAGAGCATTAAGAGAAATCATAGGTTTTGAACTTTATACCCACCCTGCTTACTAGACAGGGAAAGAACTGTTGCTGTGTAGTAAAGGAGTGTGTGTGGATATCTAAAAGTAGCTCTCTCTGCAGAGATACAACTGCTATAAACATCACTGGAGTGATACGAGGAAATCTGTGATTCTGGAAGTGACTCCTGGAGGTATTGACCAAATTGATCCTGCAACGAATAAAGTCCTGTGCTCCTATGACTACAGAAATATTGAAGGCTTTGTTGATATTGCTGGCTATCAGGGAGGCTTCTGTATCCTCTATGGAGGATTTAGTAGATTGGTGAGTACTAAAACAGAAGATCCTGGTTTGGTGCTTAGGTTATTTATAGCTGTATATTTAATAATGAAGCTTCAACAGAATTTGGTCATGTAAGTATGTGCATCTCTGAGACCCAAATGTATTCTATTTTGTTAGCATGAAATACCCACTTATTTATATTTGGATGGTATGACTGTAATTTGGACTGGGAGTTTCCTGACATTTCTCAAAGTTACAGAAGTGACAGTCAGTGTTCCTAATCTGCCTAAGTGATGAAGAGGTTCTATTCAAAAATAGATTGATCAGTGGTGGTGCTTCCTTTTTAGGTCTGTGATTGATATTCAGCAGCTTTGCTTGGGAAATATTGCAGTGTAATGTTGGTTTCAGAATCCTGGGATCCAGGGTTTCTGTGTGCAATATTCCAAGCAGCTGAAGTGAATCTTTAGGAATTAATTCGTGGTCACTGATGTAAATACTGTTACCTTGGTTGCTACTAACAAAATAGGATTTTGCACTCTAGATTATGGTTTCTGCTTCTCTTGTACTGCAGCGTGCTTTTCTCTGGCATAAAACTAGCAATACAGAATTGAACCTCTCACCTTGCCTAGTAAGGCTGGGTAGCAGCCTTTACAGATAGCAGCTGGGGCTGCCCCTATGGCTCTGGCTCCTCACTCCTGCCAGCCTGTCAGCATCTGTTGCCCATGCAGGGCATACAGACCTTTACTTTAATACCACGCTAATGTGTAGCAGGGTATCCTTTAGGAATAGCTGCTGTACATTGGTGTTTTTGAAGAGCAAATGTGAGCCTAATAGCGAATCTTTTGTGTAATAAGTAACCTCTTTATACCATGGACTTAGCCAAGTCAAGCCCAGCTGCTGGAAAGATTCTGTTAGATATATAGGGGGGGATTACTTACAGAACTATGATATCTTGAGCTGTGCCATATTTTTACCTGTGGGTTTGTTTTTTTTCCTGTTGAAACATGCAGCACCTGTTTGCATCTGAGCAGAGGGAGGAGATTATCAAAAGTGCAATAGAACATGCTGGCAACTTCATAGGGATCTCTCTGCGGATAAGGAAAGAATCCCTCGAATTTGAGCAATACTTGAATGTTCGCTTTGGCAAATACAGCACTGATGAATCTGTGACATCTTTAGCAGAGTTTGTTGTTCAGAAAATAACACCTAGACATTTGGTAAGATATCACACTAAACTTACTTGGTTCCTCCTAAGTGCTAAGAATTCTCTTTCCTAACATGCCTTTTCCATTTGCTTAAGGAACCTGTGAAAAGAGTGCTAGCTCTTACAGAAGCTTGCTTAGTTGAGCGGGATCCAGCTACCTATAACATTGCAACTTTGAAACCTTTAGGCGAGGTAAGAGGCAACCCTCCTCATACCACTTCTTGAAGTAGGTGCTCTAAAAGATCATGTAGGAATATGACAGTATAGATAAGATGGCCTTAATTGGTAGAGTAGATAAATAACACTGGTTCCTGAATGAAATCCTTATCTCTTATTTTTAGGTATTTGCAATAGTATGTGACTGTGAAAATCCCCAGCTTTTTACCATTGAATTTATCAAAGGACAAATTCGGAAATACTCTTCAACAGAGAGGTAACTGGAGCTCTGGTGGGTCATGAATTCCAATGGAAGTTGCCATGGGTGTTTCTCACTCCTATAAACTCTGACCCTTGGAAGTGTTAACTCAAAGCCTTGCTATTCTGCTGGTCTGCCACTGTAGAAATGTTGTTTCAAGACCTAAGTCTCTCCCCTTTACTTTCATCCCAGCTTTAAGCATATCTGTCTAGAAAGGTTTTAGATCAACATGTAAGAGTGTTGGACAGTCAGATACAGCCCGCTTTTCCAAAGCAGCGTTGTTCTGTGTATATTTGACTTGGTTAAGCAGTATATCCGAGACAGGGAAAGAAAGCCCAATTTAAGTGATCTGGAAATGTGAAGGCTGTGTAAACCCTTTGAGCTGTCTGCTTGAGATGGTCTTGGTTGATTCTATTTAAAACAACCAACAGAAGAGGACTTGCAGCTGTAATGCAGTCTAATCCTCCTAAGCGAGGTTTTGCAGAAGGCACAGGGATGAATTGGCTTGCAACATGTGTCACTCATTAACAGGTAATCCAGAGCTCATCCCTTTAGTGAAAGGCTGCATCTGGCTATACTGGGTGTAAGGCAGCTCTGTTCTTACAGTGAATAAAGGAACACTTGAAAGTTAGTGACTTCCAGAGGCGTAGCTGCTAGCACCTGTGTTAGTAAGAGATTCCAATTGCTGCATTTCATTCTGTGGGGTTTTTTGGTCTGTTTTTCTTACAGCTTGGATCTTTGGCATCACTTTTCTGATCTAAATTGTATTCCTATGTGTTTCACCCAACCCAGAGATTCTCTCCTGGCTAGCTTGTTGGATGGAGTGAGAGCTTCTGGTAATAGAGATGTTTGCGTGAAGATGACCTCCACACACAAAGGCCAGCGTTGGGGATTACTCAGTATGCCTGTAGATGAAGAAGTAGAGAGCCTTCATCTGAGGTTTTTGGCTGCTCCTCCAAGTAAGCTAATGCTTATTACATGGTTTTATAGTGCTGTTTGGAACATCCAGGTACTGTGCACTTAACTTTTGTTATGTTTTCTTCCAGATGGTAACTTTGCAGATGCTGTGTTCAGGTTCAATGCTAACATTTCCTACAGTGGGGTACTACATGCAGTTACACAAGATGTAAGAATAAATCCTCTGTCTGACCTCTTCAGGTGTCGTTAGTGTATAAAGATATTAATCATTTTTATTTCTTAACCAGGGTCTGTTCTCAGAAAACAAGGAGAAACTCATTAATAATGCCATAACAGCATTGCTTTCACAAGAGGGAGATATTGCAGCATCTAATGCAGAGCTTGAAAGCCAATTCCAAGCAGTAAGACGACTAGTGGCTTCAAAAGCAGGCTTCCTTGCCTTTACTCAGCTTCCAAAGTGAGTGAGAAGTCTCTTCAAGCTTGGAAGTAATAGGTGAAAACAGTTCTTGAGCTGTTGGTGATGTCTTAACTTAAAAACTGAGAATTGGAGTCTGAAAAAGACTGGAAGATTCTGTACATGCTGGCTTCTATCAGGCTTTAATGTGAATTGAAAATGAGCGTTAGTATGTAAAGCTGATTCTTCCTTTGCTACAAAATACTCTCTGCTGGACTCAAATACAGCTTCATGTTTTCCCTAGTCAAAAATGACACATTCATATGTCCTTGAAGTAGGCAGTTCTTCGTTCTTAAAGTATATTGATGTCATTGCTAGCTTCAGTTCAACAGAAGATAAAACTTAATGGTCGGAAGTTCAGGTTGGATGTAAGGAAGCTCTCCCCTGTGACGGTGCTGAGGCGCTGGCAAAGGGTGCCCAGAGAAGCTGTGGCTGCCCCATCCCTGGCAGTGTTCAAGGCCAGGTTGGACAGAGCCTTTGGCGACATGGTCTAGTGTGAGGCATCCCTGCCCATGGCAGGGGGTTGGAACTGGTTGATCATAAGCTCCTTTCCAACCCAAGCCAGTCTGGGATTCTATGGTTCTAAGAAGTTGAGGTGTACTCCTACAGTAAGTACAGGCTGCTTGGAGCTTGTCTTAATTGGGTAACGTAAGAAAGCAGGAAAACTGCCTGCTGTTCTTCTGAAAATTAAAAATTCTTTGGAGTATTTTTGACTCTGGACTATGGGGAAGCTGGATGATGTAAAGGTTGATGGACGCACCTAGAACCGATAAAGGTCTCGGGCTGTTTCTCTGTGAATAGGGGTTTGTTTCCTCTCTGATCTTGGTGATTTTGCTTTCCTTTCAAAAGATTCCGAGAACGGTTAGGAGTGAAGGTTGTGAAAGCCCTCAAAAGGAACAACGATGGAGTAACCCATGCCTCTATTGACATGCTTTGTGCTCTGATGTGTGTAAGTATTAAATTGCAGCTCTTTCAGTTTGGAATGTGTGAACTTCTACCACATAGGAACCAGATAGGGTCTGCCCTGTAACTCACAGCGTGCTCAAACGTGAAATAACTTGTCCTACAGTGACTTCCTGCTGAACTTGAACTAAAGTAGGATGTACTTTTTATGGGTTCAGAGTGCAGCTTTTGGACTACAGCTGTTAAGAACAAAGGGCTGAAATGGGACTGCATGGTGAATACTGGTGTTTTTTTCTTATAGCCCATGCATGATGACTATGACTTGAGGCAGGAGCAGCTGAACAAAGCTTCCCTTCTTTCTTCGAAGAAGTTTCTAGAAAACCTACTAGAGAAATTCAATTCCCATGTGGTAAGTCAAATTTTGCAAACGAATAACTTACCTAAGTGTCTTTCCTGATTGCTCTGAAAACACTTCTATCATGCTTGGGTAGATCTTTGAATGTGTTTGTACCTGGAACCTAAGCAAAGGAAATACAGCTCTGTCTGGCACTGAAGCTTGTTCTAAATAAGCTTGGATCTTGACAGGTGAGAATGTAGCTGTCTGTGCTGCAGAACTTGAGTGTCATGCAGCAGATGTCGGCGTGTTTAATATGGAAACTGGGTGTTCCTTTTAACTAAAAGGAACTGAGAAGATTGGGTAAACCGGTAATTATGGGATTAAAACTAGAGAAAGTAATTTCAGCACGCTAGTATATGAGGTCACGAGCCTCCGATATGTACTAGGAGCCAATACTTTACCAGAGTATTGTCATACTCAAGAGTAATGGCATATTTTAAGCTTGCAATGTTTGCTTGCAGATGTGGCAAGGAGGAGCACTTTCAGCATCATGGGTACTAAGACTTGCATGAGGACCCCGGGCAGGGGAGAAACACTGTATCTGTATTACATACTTGTCTTCCTAATTTCAGGATCATGGGACAGGTGCCCTAGTAATTAGTTCACTTCTGGACTTCCTGACATTTGCCCTATGTGCTCCATATAGTGAGACTACTGAGGGGCAGCAGTTTGACATGTTGTTGGAAATGGTGGCATCTAATGGAAGAACACTATTTAAGCTCTTTCAGGTAAGATTTAATGGGGGGTTTATTACCATTAGAGGCCTTAGGTAGTAAGTGAACATGAACTTTCTCTTCTTCTCCTGAAAGACACATTTCTGTACTGTTCAGCTGGTTAATGTGCCTAAACCTTTTCTGCCTTGGTGAGTTAAGTGACCTATTGATTTTACCATCAAATACTGGATTGAGGTGGTTATTCCATAGTGGATGATATGCCAAATCATTGTAGAATAGACTAAGGCTTGTTTCTAGATACACTTGAAAATACCACTTAAATATTAAGCTAGATTCAGCAGATGAACAGGACTTCTTCTCTTTGGTGAATCTGCCACCTTTTTGTTTCTTGGTAAGTGAGAGTTACAAAACAAGAGTAACATCTGCTTGAATGCTACACCTGTAAGAATAAGAGGATTTTTAGCTAAAATGTCAGTGCTTTCTTTCTGAAAACACAGGATGCTCTTCTGCTTCTTGGTTGGTGTCAGCTTGTCAGACAGTTTCCCAGCCTTATTCCAGCTTCTCTGCTATATACTGCTGTTCAGAAGTCCATCTGATACTTGCATGAGAGACCCTTGCTTAAAAGCATAGGGTAGGAACTCTTCCTGGGGCTAGCTTTCACAGAACTGAACTAAATTTTGCCCAGAAATGGAGGTAGAAGAGCCATGGAGATGTGATAAAGAAACTGACTGGAAGATGATCTGATCTTCACATTTTTGCACTTGGATAATGATTTTGTCAATGTTCTGTTTTAGCACCCTTCCATGGCAATTGTGAAAGGAGCAGGTTTGGTAATGAAGGCAATAATAGAGGTGAGCCTTATCAACGTTACCTGGGATAGCATAATACATGTCTGTTGTGTATTGTCTGTTTCAGAAGTTCAGTTGCAATAGAAGTTTGGTATATTGGCTTCTTGTGGGGAGGGAGGTGAATGGGAAGGTGAGGAACAGGACACCTGCTTAACTGTAAGTGCTTTAATATAGCAACTTGCTTTATCTGACACTTGGGGGGTTGGAAGGCATGTGAGTTGGTTGGGACATTAGGTAGCGCCTTGCATGTCTTCGTACTGCAGTTGAGATCTGGCTGTTAATGTTGTGTGTAGCTCAGTCACATACCTCAGAGCCACCAGACTTTTCCTGCATGTTGAAGAGGGTCTCTCAAGGGGGAGAGCCTGTATTTCCTGGGATGCACTGCCAGACGGAATGGGACTGGGATTAGCAGGCAGTAATGTCCCAGAGCAGGGTAGTGATGTCAGCCTCTGTTCTTGCTCTCTGCTTCAGTGATTTGGCTTTGTTAGTTTCCATACCACATGATGTATGGGGCAAGCCCATACTTCTCAAGGGCTGCTCATGATTGTTGCAGGGTAACCTTGCTAACTGGCTCTTGACACTTCCTGTGTTGAAATTCAGGGCTTTAGTGTCTCATTGTATCACAATAGCTTATGCATCTGAAATTCTTCAAATGGAAGTGAATGAACACTTGAAATAGAGGTATTGTAAATCTGCAAGTTTCCACTGATAGACCTGATAATGTTAGTTAGAAGTTGCTATCCCATTTACTACAGCTCCTGTCATTTGAACTACAGTGGGACATGGGCAAGTAAAACTGCAATGAAAGCTTTTTCTAATTATTCATTGCAACTATTGTACCTTGCCTGAATGACAGTCTTATCCACGTGGCTGTCTTAAACCAAACAGCACCAATTACTCTTAAATTATTACTGTGGACGAAAGTCAAGCAACAGTCTGTGGCTGTCATTCTTTTTAACCCTAATTTGCAAGTGCAGTGTGGAAATGATACTTGTAAAATGTATGCTACAAACCTCCTGAAGTAGGATGGGAGACGTGCATCTTACCCTGTCCAGTTACTGTCCTCATAGATGTAACTACCAATTATCTGGTCCATGACTTTACTATGGCTTTGATCAGTTGCTGTTGAGAACTTGCACTTAAAGCCCGTCATACTCTAGCTCCTGGCTTTTGGATAGTAGTTGACGTAACTGATGGTTAAGAAGGCCTTGGAACTATAGACTAAGATAAAAGCAGCTTAACTAAGATTCTTTCTTTAGTAATCATCTTGCCCTGTTTCCAAAGGAAGGAGACAAAGAGATTGCTACCAAAATGCAAGATCTTGCCCTCAGTGAAGGTGCCTTACCTCGTCACTTGCACACTGCTATGTTTACAATAAGCACAGATCAGAGGATGCTTACGAATAGGTATGTCCATCTCACTTGATATGCTGTGTTTAAGAAGTCTTAAGTAATGGCCTAGCTAACATTACAAAAGTTGGGAGGTCAGGAAGAAAGCTTGCAGTTCTTTAGGAGAGTATTTCCTTCAGCTGTTGTGTTTAAATAGATCAAACTTCAGCTGAGACTGCAACCACTTAATAAATCTTTGATTTCTTATTTTTCCCCAAAAAATGCCACTTAAGTAACTCATTAAGACTTGAGTTTTGATTTTTATGGTTTTTTTTCTGAAAACATCCAGGGAAAGGAAAGGCAAGTAGGATGTCTGGAACTGTAAAAGGGTTCAGCTTAGATTATACAACTGTATAGATTCTGGTGTGTGCTCCTGGACATCTTGCATGCAGTTAGGATCACCCAGCCTTGTCTGAGAAAAGCCTCCTGATACAGAAATCATTCCCTGAATTCAGCAGTCAGTAGAACTTGGGAGCTGTGAGACCGAACCTCCGGGTGTGCTGGGGAAGATGAGTGAGAATTCAAATGTTTTCCACCAAAATAGAAGATTATAGAAGTTTTTCATTTTTAGCCACACATTTCTGAAGCGCTTGAACAGTTGCTAAGCAATGGAGTGACAAGTGGAACTTGTTGCTTCTGTGTGTTGTCCAGGAGGGAGCTAGTAAGAAACCTTCTGTCATACCAGTTCTGTTTGGAGCTGGTATTTATGACTCACTTGTAAGCAATGCTTCAGTTCAATGCAGTAGAATCCTAGAGACAAACGTTGGCAGCAAGTGTCAGTTGGCATAGAAGGTGGGCTCCCAGAAAGGCTTTCCTAGCCAATAGCTGGTATAAAGAGCTTCCAGTGGAGCGGTTAAGAGTTCTTGATGGTTTCTAGACTCTTAACTTTAACTGTAACTTGAGATTGAGTGGATAAACTCACTCTTGGTTATTAGGTTATTAGTTTCTGCTCTATTGCTCAAGTGTTCTTTTGAGGTCTAGATCAAAAAGCATGTGCTGATACTGTTCCACTAACTTCACTGGAACTTCATAAAGGCAACACTTTAAAGCATGCTAAGCATATACTTGAACTGGAACAATATAGTGCTTTGTGCTCTTACTCACTAAAGAGCATGAAGCTTTTGCTCGTCTTCATTTCACCAGCATGGTAAGGGTGTTGGTTTAGTAGCTTAAAATGCTGTTTAAAATACTAACAGGCAGTTTCAATGGCTTTTCCAGGCAGTTAAGTAGACATTTGGTTGGCCTCTGGACAGCTGAGAACAAAACTGCCATGAACTTGTTGAAACGTATTTTGGTGAGTAAAAATGAGATACGGAGTAGGGAAAGAATAAAATCAGAGAGCCTGTAGTATTAGAAAACTTGGGATAGTTTATAGAGCAAGCATAACCCTTTTCTGCTCCATGGGGGAGGTCTAGCCTGGGAGATAGCAGCCTGGCATTGCTATTGAACAGATATTGATGACTAGTAGAAATCATCTCGGGTTCTTAAAGTGTTCTGTTATTTTCCTGCCACTTCTAGAACCGGTGTATGACACAAAAATAAGGTGTCTGACTTCTTTATTAAAAGGACAAAAATCTGGAGGCACAGTAAACGTAGCCTCTAATGCTTAGTGCCAAAAAGAAATTAAGGTAACAATTCTGTCTGTTCTTTCATGCCTGTCCAACTTAGCTTATAACACAGCTTTATATATTGGCTCATAGTTCCCATGTTCTTTCACCCTTACAGCCTCCTCAAAGGTTCTTAAGTTACTTCAGTGAAACTAGTTCAAAGAACAGTGTTGTAATGAACTATTAAATCTGGAAAAATAGCAGATTAATTAACTTTTAATTAACCAGATTAATTAATTGACTTTTAAATTCAAAATGGCAGTTCCTTCATTATTTGGCAGAGCAGACTGTCCTAGTCTTGATCACTATCTTCCAGAAGGCTGAGTCAGATGAGAGACTCTAATCTCTTAATGTCACATGCAACATTCAGTCCATATCAGAGGACATGGATGGATTCAAGTGTTACAGCATTCACCCACCTCAGTACTCCTGTGGGATCAACTCTTCTTCCTGAAGTCCTTAGCTTCATTAAGTACTCCTTTAAGAAATGGCTATAGGCAGGAGCTCCGCTTTGCTGAAGGCGATAATGTGCATCTATTGAATGGTTCTGTTGAAGATGGTGGCATTTCACTAATAAAAACAGAAAGCTGCTGTAGCTTTACATACTTACTTTAGAGCAGCATGTAAATTCTGGTTTGAAATATCTTAAGTTAAAGAAACGATCTTGTTACCTAATGTGATGGTATCTGTTCCATTAGCCGCATGTGTATTTACGCTGGTTTTATATGCTTTTAGCCACCAGGTTTGCTGGCATACCTTGACAGCGCTGATCCTGTTCCTGAAAAAGATGCTGATAGGATGCATGTTAGAGATAACTTAAAAATTGCAACTGTAAGTAAATGGAGATATCTTTTCTCTTACATTTTATAGATGTACAGTCTTTGACTTTTCTAATGCAGACACTTGACTGCAGCATTGACCTGCATCAAGCATTGATAGACATGCAACTGCAAATGACTAATAGGATTTATTCTGCAGGATCAGTATGGCAAGTTTAATAAAGTGCCAGAGTGGCAGAGACTGGCTGGAAAAGCTGCAAAAGAAGTAGAAAAATTTGCCAAAGAGAAGGTGGATCTAGTCTTGATGCACTGGAGAGACCGAATGGGCATAGCTCAAAAAGAGGTAAAAGGATTTGGAACTCTTTGCTACAGGCACTTGACTAAGTGTAAAGAGGAACACCTACAACTCCATGAAATCAGAGGGAGATTTGACAGTAATAGAAGTGCAGGAATGTGAGAAACTCCATGGTTCTGCTTACTTTCAGGAAACTTTGCCTCTTACTACGCTTCATCTTGAGTTAGAAGTGTATTCCATGTAAATGCAGCAATGTAAAGCAGCATATGTATTAAGCTTTACCTTATTCTTGCTTTAGCTGACCTTGTCAAACTGGACTGCAGCTGATGTGCATTTCTTCCAAGATAATTATACAGGAGAATAGGAAATTCCTTGAAATAAGACAAACCAGTTTTTAAGCTGTAGTTGGAAGAAACTAGGTCTTTGCATCCAAAATTCTGTGCTTCATGCTAGTGGTGGTTTAGTTATGGAACCTGCTAGAAGCAGCTTAGTATTACCTTGAATATAGGTATCTCAGTGCTTAAATAGCAGCATAATAGCCTACATAAACCGTGGTTAATATTGAAGTGATAAGTGACTGTTTTCATCTGGTGTTATAAGAGGCAATCACTGCTTGAGTTCTTACTGTTGGTCTCTTCTTCCTTTAATTTTATTGTCATGATCTGTATGATAAACTCCTTGAATAATGAGGCATTTCCCTTAAGTTTCTCTACTCTTCTGGCTAAGCTTGAGTTTTATGCATTCTGGAAATGAAACAAAACTCTTACTTATGCAAGGAAGAATGAAAAAAGCAGCTCAGTGTGGAGTATTGAAAATGCCTGCCTTTGTATTTGATCAGATGTAACAAGCTTTAATCTAGGGAAACCTCAACTTGGTAAAATGTAGCTCAAGGTTTAGTCTGTGGTGCAGAACTCCAACAGGTAGTATTTCTGGAGTAATGATGACCTAGGTTCCAAACAAAGTATTAATGCAGAAACGTAGGCAACAGTGGCAGAAGGGCAGACTGCAGTTCAAACATCTTGTCTGGATACTGAGTTTAAACAGGCAGTTTTCTATCCGGACTTCTGGGCTGTTTAATTTCACAGTCAACATATGCAAGTGTAGCTTGGCAAAGGGAGAGGTAAATTTGGTGTTACCACTTGGAATGACTTCAGTGGCTGTGGCTTGTTAAATGTACCTTTTCTTTTTCTTCCAACTTTCCTTCACAATCAGGACAGAAACAATATGGTGAGTCTGTATCCCTGCCGCTTGTGGGTTATGTTGCTCAGACTTCTGCTTGCATGTGATGCCTCATGTAGAGTATAGCATCGATTTCATGCTTGGTCAAGCTAGGGAACCTTTCAGTGGCCAAGTCAGGATTGTGACTTACTTGGACTTGCTCCAGTTACTGCCTTTCAAGAGCAAAGCATTCTTGGGGGTTTCCCCTCCATCAGCTTTGGACCTGATGAGTGTTTATGATGATGGGCACTAAGCTTTTCTCAGGGGTAACTTGCTTCTGAATTAATGACTCATTAAACAGCTGAAAGCTTCTCTGGCATGATTTAACTTGGTGTAAATAACGCTTGTGGAAGTGTGTTGCTACAACTTGCTAGGAAAGTAGACCTTATTAATGAGGCTTAACTCAGTGTGGCTTTTGAAGGAGTGAAAAAAAAGCCTAGCTTCTTATTTTAAAAGGGAAAAAAGGGCAGTATCTGTTTCCACTGACTTCTTTTGGCTCTTTTGCAGAATATAATTCAAAAGCCAGTGATACTGAGGAAACGACGCCAAAGAATAAAAATAGAAGCAAACTGGGATCTGTTCTATTACAGGTAAGATACAAAGATTGGTATGGTGGTCTCAGATGGGAATTATTAGCTGGCTGTTCTTTTTGTTAAGGTCTTCTGAGTTGCTGTGGCTTGATTCCAATTTCTGCCTGCCTTGAAACTGTGCTTTGTAAATGGAACTTACGAGAAATGAAATCCTAAGGTATACTTAAGGATTTATCTTGTGTTTAAGAAAGAGGGAGATTTGGAAAGCTTGCCAAATGTTATCAAACTACTTCATTTTTTCCTTTGAATCAAAAGGAGGAATGAGTAACAAACTGCAGGTGTAGATCTGCATTATGTTGCAGGCTAAGCAAAGCAGCACTGAAAATCATTGTAGTGTGTTGGTGCATCACCATCAGCTACTCAAGATGTTTTAACTTGGGTTGGAATAGAAATGAGTTTAAGGCCAGCAAAAAGCAAACACGTGGGTACTGGATTTGGAATAGTGCCACAGGTTGTAAATGCGGCTTGCTTACCTGTGAGTTCTTACAACTCAAAGTTACAAGGGAGGGGCCTCCAGCTGAAGAATATTAATGCTTTTCTTTATCTAGAGGTGTTATGTTAAATGGGCTAATAAAGCTTGACTGGCAAACTATGAAAAAAGAGCTTGGGGAAATTCTGCAGACTTAGCTGATTAGATGCTTAATGTTTCTAAAAGGCAAATATAGTCCATTCTGCACAAGTGATGTATGAAAGGAAGATTGGCGTGCTCCTAAACTTGAGTATTAAATGCTGCTCTCAACCAGTCTCTGGATCCAAAGGCTGTTTTGTAACTGCCACTGCAGAATGTCCACAGACTGTTTGTGACACTCAAGGCATCGACTTCTGTTTTGCTGCTTGAACTACTTTTTTTGTTTAAAACATACACTTTGGGGGGGGGGTCTGTGTGTGTCTGCTGCCCTGGGTTGTTGTTCACTTGGAGCCCTTAGTGGCAGATATGTTGAATAGCTTGCATGCCTCCTGGTCATCAGCTATGTGCAGATAACAAATGAGTGAAAAAGGATGACATATGAATGCTTTAGTCTAGGCTGACCAAGGATAGGGCAAGGGGAAATGGCTTTAAACTGACAGAGGGGAGATTTAGATTAGATACAAGGAAGAAACTATGCATTGTGAGGATGCTGGCACAGGGTGCCCAGAGAAGCTGTGACTTCCCCATCCCCGGCAGTGTTCAAGGCCAGGTTATGCAGGGCTTGGAGCAACCGGATCAAGTGGAAGGTGTCCCTGCCCGTGGCAGGGGGTTGGATCTGGATGAGCTTTAAGGTCCTTTCTGACCCATCCATCCTATGATTCTGTGACCTCCATGACTATGAAAACATGTAGATGAACAACCGTAACTACTGCGACAGATTAGAGACCACTACTCGGTGCTTTGTAATTAAGGTTCACTGATGCTAATCTGTAGCTTGCCAGCTGAGCCTTGTCTGCCTTTCAGATGATGTTTTAAGGGGCTTAAACCGTGTAACTTCTTTCTTAGATTTCTTCAGGATCATGCTAGGTCAAACTTGATTTGGAACTTCAAAACACGGGAAGAACTGAGAGATACTCTTGAGTCTGAGATGAGAGCATTTAATATTGACAGAGAACTTGGTAGTGCTAATGTTATCTCATGGAACCATCAGGAGTTTGAGGTAAACAAGCAAAAACTGTGTATGTAAAATGTCTACTTTAAATGTCACTTTTCTGTCTCTACATGAGTGAATCTTGTGTTGACAATCCCTTGTGACTGTAAGCTAGAGTTTTGATATAAAGCGTTCTAAGGCCTTGGGGCTGTGAACAGGTACTGTTGTCCAGTGTCACTCTGCAAAACTGAAACCTTTTCAGCCTGACAAATGACACTGTAGAGATGAAACAATGATGAGAACCCTTGATGTATTCTTGCATTAAGAGGAAAAGAGTTGGAGTGCTGTGGTCAAGATTTTTGTTCTTAAATGTGCTCCATCACACTTGTTTTGGGTAGTTTCACAAGTCACCTCCTCCTGATAGTGAGCTCTTTGTCTTGATTTCCATTATGTCTCAGTGATCTTAAGGCTGTTAAATACTGCACTGCCAAGCCATGAATAGGTTATGTGGCTAAAACCATGCTGCGCTGTAAATTGCAAACTGAGGATGCTGTTTTCACATTCTAGGCACAGCAGTACCTAGAGTCAAAATACCCTTTGGGCTTCTGCAAAGCAATTGGTATGGCCCTAATTGCCTTTCTCAAAACAACTTGCAAGATGCTTTTGAGCTAATAAGCACTTCCTGTGTTCTTATGGTGCCACAAAGTTTTAATTAATATGTAATCCTAAAGCAAAGCAAGACCATGCTTGAATTCAACTGCAAGATATCCTTAGATATTCCCAATGCCATCCTGGTCATGGTACAGCTTTATAGTTAAAATTCAAGCAGAGGATTACTAGTAAAGCAAGAGTAAACTGCTTTTGAGGAATTCTCAGTTGACTACTCCGGCAAATCAGAACTGTAACACATGAGGCTGATGCTTTAGGAGAAAGAATGATTTTGTGTATGCAACTTATCACACAGCTGCAGATCAGTTCTTGATGCAGTAAATAGCTGCGTTTGGGGCTGGACTGGTATTTCTTGTACTGGCATTTAGCTTTCCAAGTTTTCTTCAGGTATGGCTCAGGTGCAGGGCTTCTGGGGTCTGCTATCCCAGCTCTGTCTCTCCACTTTAGAGGTGCTAACTGGGGCAGAAACAAAACTAGAGGTCTGAAACTTAGTAATGCAGGCTTCCCACCTGCACTTTGTGCCGCAGTGCGGCTTGTGTGACTGGAATGCACCACTAGCATACCTCCAATTACAGCCCAGTACAGGGCTTTGGGATGGGCTCGGGGAACCCTGAACAACTGCTGCCACATAGACTTGCTTTTATATATTTTAAATGAATACTTCATCAGGCAATGCTAGTATTTGACCTAACTACATAGTGGTGTTAAAGGCTTATCTGTCAGCTGTGGGACCTGTCACTGTGCCAAGGGGAATGGTGGCTTGAGATCGCTCTGGAAGTGTACTTTTTAGTGGGATGTCTTTGTATCACGTGCTGCGTTCAAATCTGTTGTCAACTTTGGCCTCATCATAGTGCCCTGCAAGCTATAGATAAGAAAAACCAAAGTAAAGAGTGGCTTTTGTGGTATGTTGGAGGTACCTGTAAGTGAGGCACTTGCCAAATGCTTAAAACCACTGAGCATTGAGGCATATGGTTAAAATTAATATAGTTGCTCTGAAGTTAACAACAGGTTTCACTGTGCAATTTCACTTCAGTGTCTCGTTGTGTATCCTGATGCCTCTAGGCTTTTATTACCCAGCATAATAGCAAGTAAAACTAGTAATTAAGTCATATTTGTATTTTATATGTGTGGTAACACTGAGTGAAATACCTTGCAGTGGAATAACTACTTATTAAAGCTTGAGTCACTGAGTACATCATGTATTAGTTCAGCTAATAAAACCAGCTGCTATCAGAAACAAGTTACTTAAAGGCTGGAAACAGGGGTTTCAGGAAGATAAGGAACTTAAGCAAAACGAAAGCTTACGGCATGTATTTTGTAGAGGTGTGTTTCTTTAACAGCAAACTCCCAGATTTCAGTCTTCCTTAGACTGTAGGAGAGGTTGCTAACCTTGTTGAGCTTATGGAGACAAGCAAGTACAGTATTGTTACGCAACCGAACACTTAATGAAGCAGAAACAATCTTTCCTGTTAAATAACTTGTTCTGCATTGCAGGTAAAATACGAGTGCCTTTCTGAGGAAATAAAAATAGGGGATTATTATCTAAGATTGCTGCTGGAAGAAGATGAAACAGAAGAGAGTGGAGCAATCAAAAAATCGTGAGGCATTATTAAAATCCTCTCTCATTCCCAGGGTCTCCATTTGTTTCCTTTGCTAAAATCTCATCTCTTCCTTAGATATGAATTCTTCAATGAACTCTACCACCGCTTCTTGCTTACCCCAAAAGTGAATATGAAATGCTTATGTCTGCAAGCATTGGCTATAGTTTATGGAAGATGTCATGAAGAAATAGGACCGTTTTCTGATACCAAGTACATTGTCGGGATGTTAGAAAGGGTAAGAATTAAAATCACTTGATACACTAGTTAACATACAGCTAGTCCAGCATGTGTTCAGATATTTCAAATTGCTGTGAAACTCAAATTTTGGCTTTATAGAAAGTGAAGCATCAACATGAGTACGTCTTTTCCATGCTGTTCCCAAGTGTTCCTAGTATCTTTCCTTGATTTAGTTTCATTAAAAAATCCCCTGCTGATCATAGTGGTATTTCAATCTAGTCTCTTTATTACCTGCCTTCTATTGACCTTAACAGGTTTTCAGGCTGTACAGAAACAGTGTGAAGGAACTTTGTGTGGTTATCTCGTGCTTGCTTTTGAAAAACGCAGAAGCAGAAAGCTTTTAAACAGAGAACTTTGTTCCATATCACATTGTTTTGAAATACTGACTTCAAGAGTAGTCGCAACAGCCCCTGAGCTAATGAAATGTGTCTTAGATGGGCACGTGTGATGGATTAGTTTTTTAGTGGTGACTCCTTCACCTATTAAGTGTCTGAGAACTGATACAGCTTGCAAAACTGCATTTCTATGGAGTCAAGAAGGGATTCTATGCTAACATCAGTGTGGGTTTTAGATATGGCTGTTTCAAGTGAAACTGAACCAGTGCTGTCTCTTGTTGTTTAGCCTTTAGTCTTGATAGTCTCAGCAGGGATGTAACATCAAAGACCCATTCTGCCTGCTGGCTGAAAGCCTTCTTGTATTTGTGTTAACCAGCTCACTGGGGAATCCAGTGTCCCTTTAGAACAGTAGACTTGGCAGAAAAGTGGGTTCATGTGGCAGCCCCAGAGCAGCAAAGGGGATGGAAGGCTTTCCTCCTCAGTGGCAGAAAGCTGGGTTTATTAGCTGTGCACGAAACTGGACACTTACTTGATACTAGTTTTATGCTGGGCATGAAAAAAGTAGAAGGGTCTTTTCAGGTACAACTGTACTGACTTTTGAAGGTAACTTGTAATACGTGCTACCAAATACTAATTTGTTCTCTTCTGTTGCACTAGTGCACTGACAGGCTTGAGCGGGACAGGTTGATACTGTTTCTCAACAAGCTGATCCTGAATAAGGTGAGGTGGACATGTGTGCTTAACAGTAGCCTGTTGGTCTTTCAGCTGTAGAAAATGGTCTGAACTGGTCTCTCAGTTAACTTGAATAGATACTCAGGTCTTGAGAGTCTTAAAACAGTGTTTGATGCAGCTTTGTGGGGTGTGGTAGATGTTGCTTGCTGCTGAGAAAACTGAGGGAAATGTGTAGATATTGTGGTGATTGTACCATTCTAGCCATTTCAGAGAATGATTTGCCTTTTCTTATGGTCATTTCTTACTTGACTAAAACTGTTCAGTACTTGTAATAACTCTTACCTAGAAAATGCTTCTGTTAACTCACTTCATCCATTAACAGAAAAATGTGAAGGACCTTATGGATTCAAATGGGGTTAGAATCCTTGTAGATCTGCTTACTCTAGCACATCTTCACACAAGCAGAGCAACAGTCCCTCTGCAGGTATGTGGTCTTTGTTTCTTACTACTCGTATATTGCTTTGCTAAAAGGTCAATTCTTACAAACAAAACCAACCAACCAAAAAAATCAGTGTCCTTTTCACACTTCCGGATATTTGCACTGAAGCTAATGCTGTTCTTCTAAACTTCAACTTCTAGAGCAATGTGATTGAGGCAGCACCTGATATGAAGAGGGAGAGCGAGAAAGAATGGTACTTTGGCAATGCTGACAAAGAAAGGAGTGGTCCTTACAGCTTTCAAGAGGTACCTGTCAGCTTCAAACTCTCAAATCATTTCCATCCTGGTGATTGAGTGTGTTTAAACAGTGAGAGGTAAAACTCCAAACAATGCTGAACTGTATTCTCATAGCAACTCTTTAAGTAAGGACTAAAGCTACAGAAGAGATTTACATTGTGCTAAGAGCCACAGCCTTTTTGCCTACCCCTCCATGCCCCCTTATGCTGTAATTTAGTCTAACAACTTCTACTTCATGTTTCCTCAGAGTTGTAAATACGTTGGAATTTCATGTTAAGTGTTTTTAGTCTGCTGTACAGCAGCGAAAAGCTTGTTTTGAGTGTGAGTTTTTAGGAGCAGCGGTAGCTCTGAATACTGAATCAACTGAATTCATCTCTTACCTTGCAATAGATGCAGGAACTATGGAACAGTGGAAAGCTGACTTCCAAAACACGTTGCTGGGCTCAAGGTATGGATGGCTGGCGACCATTGCAGGTCATCCCTCAGCTGAAGTGGTGCTTGCTTGCCAGCGGCCAGCCTGTATTGAATGAGACTGACCTTGCCACACTTGTACTCAACATGCTCATCACAATGTGTGGATATTTTCCCAGCAGGTAAACGCTAATTCTCAGCAAAAGTGGTTAACTGTCTCTGGCAGATGCATAGTTGTATATATATTCTAGCTTAAAGCTTTCCTTGGAAACCAAGAATGAACTGTAGTAAAGAGCCTTTTTATGTAGCAGTAAGTAATTCTGTGAGCAAATAGAGTTTGTAAATGAAACAACACTAATATTGTGAAAGGGACTGCAAGAATGAATGCACAAGCTACCCGAGTTTCTAATGCACAGTGGCATAGTCTTACTCTAGCAGGCAGTCTCTTGTTTAACTTAAAGCTGCTTTAATGCATGACATTAAATCACGCTTACTTTAACAACAGGCTTTGGAGTTAACAAAAAAACAACACTGAGTATGATCTCAGTAGCCTGATACTTGTGGCTTACGTGCCTTTTTCCTTCCAAGAATGAACAACAGGTGTCCTTACTGCTGTGCCACTTTATTTTTCAGGGATCAAGACAATGCTATTATAAGACCTTTGCCTAGAGTGAAGAGGCTGTTGTCAGATAGTACTTGCCTTCCTCACATCACTCAGGTAAGCAGCTCTCCAAAAATGTGCTGAGTTTAAAATCTGACTTCATCCACCATCTAACCTGTGTGGATACTTTACGTGGGACAGACACATGAAATGACATGTGTAACATCCTGCAGATCTCTGGACAATACATTGTTTATTTCACTGGGGGGTGTTACACATTTCATGTTGTTTCAGCCAATATCTCATTCATAATATTTCCATCTTGACACACTGAAAAGCAGTCTGGAGAATGTTCTGGAGATGACCCTGCTTTGAGCAGGGGGGTTCAACAAGATGACCTTTAGAAGGTCCCTTCCAATTTTAAAACATTCTGTGATTAAAACTTGTTGGTTTGAGGCAACTGAAACTCTTTAAGTTTACTGGCTTGTTCTAGTAGTGAATTAGCAAAAACTTCAGTTTTGTCTAGGTAACTGCAGTACTCGTGCAGCTAATACAAATGCTTGTGTTGGATTTCAGCTGTTACTGACTTTTGATCCTATCCTCGTGGAAAAAGTCGCTGTGTTGCTGCTTCATGTCATGCAAGATAACCCTCAGTTACCTCGCTTTTATCTGAGCGGGGTATTCTTCTTTATCATGATGTACACGGGTTCCAATGTACTTCCTATTGCAAGGTAAGGAAAAGTAAAACTGCCTCTCGACGGGTCCTTAGAAGGACTGCTGTTCTGAATGCTTCAGGGAGTGTGACTTGCTAGAACCAATATGAGATTGTGAGCAAACACCCTGTAGAGGAATTCTATCCATATGGTTTAGTCAGCATTAAAAAAGTGAATTGTTTACGACCCTGCCAGGGTGGGAAGGAGAGCATGTCTGGTTATGTAGTTCTAGCAGTACAGCTAGGCAAGGCTTATTGTAGAGCAATGCTTACAAGCACTCAAGAGAAGTAATATATGCTACTGATGTGCTGATGTGGTGGTTGATAGTAAGCAGCTATCAAAAGTGGTGGAAAAATCTAATAGCCTGTTTTAGTATTGAAGCCTGAAGTAGTTAAATCAGTCTACTGCCTGCCACAGCCACACTGCACGTGCAGGTGGCTATTGCAGCTCATTCCAGTGCTCTTCCTCTGAAGTCAATAGTTCATAAAAAGCTGTTGTAGAATTCCAGTCAAGTCTCTTCATAAATGCCTTGGGAAATGATTGCATGTTTACATGATGACTGTAGTGCAACAGGGCTGTCAGCAGTTAGTGTGAGATCATCTTGTTCCATCTCTGCAAGGATGATCTAACAGTGCAAGGAGAGGTTGATAGGGAAAGGTTGTGTCTCTGCCGCTTTTTCTTTTGTGTGGAGAAAAGAAGCTTTTGGGAACAGGACTTTCAAACTGAAGTGATGAACATAAGGCAACATCTAAAACATGGGAGTGCTTAACTTGGAGTTCCTATGGATTTGATGGACTTTGTACAGATATCATGCAGTTGTTGCTGTTACTTTTTTATCTCAAAGTAAATGTCTGAGGCTCGCCAGCTGGACTGTGTTGTTCTCCTTATCTTTGCAGGGTGCCATAAGTATCAAACAGAAAATAACTACTGTTTCTCTTGTAGGTTTTTGAAATACACACATACAAAACAAGCTTTCAAGTCTGAAGAAGTGAGTAGATTGCAGAAACAACTGCCTCTCTTTCCAAATAATCTTGCAGACCACCGGTAGTCCTTTTAACAATACTTGATGCTTGTTCTTTCTCTAAGGTCTCAAGAGTTAGCATTTAAGAGCTAAAAGGGAAAAGGGGGAGGAGTGTTTTAGATCTCAAGTTGGTTATCAAGACTGCTTACCTTTGTGATGACAGTATGATCTCTTCTGTAGACAAAAGGTCAAGATATAGTTCAAAGAAGTATACTTGGACATGTTCTTCCTGAAGCAATGGTGTGTTACTTGGAAAACTATGAACCAGAAAAGTTTTCAGAGATTTTCCTTGGAGAGTTTGACACTCCAGAAGCAATTTGGAGCAATGAAATGAGGTAACTGTTTTCTTTCAGAGAGACCAATCTGAACTGCACCTCATGCTAAAGAGGTCTTAGCTTTGCCATTTCTAAAGAAAGCCAAGAATACCTAGATTCCGTGGTTTCATTCCTTCTCTCTGTTTGCCTTCTGCAAGGACAGTGTCCTGCATTGCCCTCTGCTTCTCTCAAAAATAACAGGGTGGAGAGGACCAGAATTGGCAGTGGAAGGGGGAATCTTTTTCTGAATATCTGTAACTTTTACATCTGCCTCTATTATACTTGATTAAGTTCCTTTCATGAGTGAGACTTCACTAGGCATGTGGACTGTTTTTACATGTAGTGTACTCACTTATTGCCAGCACCTATCTAAGACCTATACCCCTAATATTACAATGTATTTTTAGGGTCTCCCAAAAAGTAAAGAGGTGTTGAGCGAGGGCACAATGTTACTTTACATCATTTTAATAATCTGATTTTCATGGAGTTGAAATGGCTTTATAACAGAATAGGACCAAAGCCTATTCTGAACCCTTCTAAAACGTGGGAAACTACAAAGATCAGTCTTTACAGAAGAAATCATTGCCCACACTTGTACGGTCACTGGAGATTGAAGACTGCTTGGCAAGTGTTAAACCAAAGTCTCTAACTTTTAGGCGTCTTATGATAGAGAAGATTGCGGCTCATCTTGCTGACTTCACTCCTCGTCTTCAGAGCAATACAAGAGCACTCTACCAGTACTGTCCAATCCCAGTTATCAACTATCCACAACTGGAAAATGAGCTCTTCTGTAACATTTATTACCTCAAACATCTCTGTGATACATTCAGGTTTCCAGACTGGCCAATTAAAGATCCAGTAAGTAAAGTATATTAGGATTCATTTTGTTCTTGATCTTTCAGAGCCCTAAAAGTGGAGTTTGTAACAAATTAAGGAGATCAAATGCTAGGTTTGTTGCAAGTAATTGGTCGATCCTGACTTTCAGTTCATAAGCAAATATGTTAAACACTTCTCTATCTTGAAGCAGAATAGATTTCATGCCATATAGCAATCATGTTAAGTGATCCTCCTTGTGGTAACTACTAAGAAAGCAAAACAAAGCAGCCAAGAAACTTCAGATAGCCTTCCAATGAACCTCAAGTGACTGGTGGGGGGAGGAATCCTCACTTTTGGGTTCTTATTTGTCCTTGACATACAAGAAACTGAGCTAACTTGGTATCAGTACGTTAACTGAATTGATGAGGTTTTGGGGAAGAAGTTTATGTTCTAAGCAGCTTTACTTATTCATGCAACTTTTGTAGTACTGAGATGTGAACTGCATATCATTTAAGGGTTTCTCTCCTAATGTGACTCTTGCATAGATGTTTTGATCTTAAGGTATTCTTACTGTGAATAAAATGTAGCACTGCAGTGAAGCAAAGTCTTAATGGCTTTGTGACCTGAGGGCAACCATGGTTATAAAGGTAAAAAGATTAGGTCTTTGATCTTAGAGTGATGGGGTAATAAGGACTCATTATGTTAGTAAAGAAGATGTGCACTGGTGTCAGTGTAAACAAACCTCTAATAAACTGTACTTATTTAGGTTAAACTCTTGAAAGATACACTAGAAGCTTGGAAAAAGGAGGTAGAAAAGAAGCCACCTACCATGTCAATAGATGATGCTTATGAAGTCCTTAACCTTCCCAAAGGACAAGGCCAGTAAGTTGTTTTCAGCATTTAAAGTTGTATAACTACATTTACATAAACTCTCTACACAGAACAAACTGATGAGCAAACATCAGAACTTAGCAACCAGTTAGTGGTATTGGTTATGTCTAGCACCTGCTCCTTTCACAGGGGAAGATTGCCTTATCTAAAAAGAATCAAGGCTTGAAAATCCAGCTCCAGCCTTTGAGAGAATACCTGTGAACATTCAGATAAACTGAAACTGGGGCAGGGGGAAGTATTTTGAGCTCTGCTTCAGAGCATTCACTAAGCTATTTTGCAGGACAAGCATTAGACTCAATCATAGTGAGCAAAGAATATGGCAGAACTTGAATACGTTCACAGTGAAACTTGGCTTCGCTAATCATGCTTCTTCACCCTGCCAAATGTTCTCCTTTTCTTGGTGATAATATCCTTGGGATTTGTTGCTTCCTGTCTTGCCACTGGTTTCTCACTTCAGGCCTCTGGAAGAGAACTGACAGGACTTTGTATTCTTCCTTCCAGAGCAGTGCACTCACTACAAATCATGAACCTCTAAATTTACCATTCCGTGTCAGCTGATAAAGCAGGATTTTTCCAACTGGAAGAGCTTTATAGTTTTCACTTACTTGCAATTACTGTTAGTACTGCTGTCAAAATCCAGGCTTGTTTTTGTGTTTGATTGGGGTTTTTTTGATGTTATTTAATGCAATGGGACTTGTTTTCTCGTAGGCATGATGAAAGCAAGATCAGGAAAGCTTATTTCAGGCTGGCACAAAAATACCACCCAGACAAGAATCCAGAAGGCAGGGTATGTATGACACAAATTGATGGTGTTAATAGACTGGGGGCAAATCAAGCTGGTTTGTGTACTAAGAATTCTGAAATGCCAACTTCAGTTTTCTTTCTCCCTTTTAAAAGCTATACCCTAGATGAGTACTAGAATACAGATTAATACCACAGAGGAGTAATTGAACTGGTGTCAGTCAAGGAATATTAGGATTTCTACAGAAAACTGATGTAATCGGGTCAGACCCACATCTCAAAGCATCTGGTTTAGAGTTATGCAGGACCTAAATAAGCTAATTGCTCCCTTTCAAAGACAGACTGCATCCTCTGCCCATTCTTACAATTGATTAAACTGTACTTATAGCTTTTGTCATAGCGGAATTGAATTCATTTTAGTCTCTTGCCTAGGATGGAGTTTAGGAGACAAAAGAAAACTGATCTCTGCACCAGTGTTGTCTGAAGTATTTACTGAAGTGTAGTAAGGCATCAAAGCTAGTGTTGCAGTTAATAACCTGGAATGCTCTATTTTTACCTGCATCTAAAGGCTTGTAGTAATTTAGGGGGTTCTTGGCAACTGTTAAGACTATTCCTTTTTATTTGCAGGATATGTTTGAGAAAGTAAATAAAGCATATGAGTTTCTGTGCACAAAGTCTGCCAAGGTGATAGATGGGCCAGATCCAGAAAACATAATTTTGATCTTGAAAACTCAAAGCATCCTCTTCAACAGGCATAAGGAAGGTAAGCATACTGCCTCAGGAGAATGTTTGAGGTTCATTTCTTTAGTGGCCGTTGTGGGTAGTTTTAATCTCCTCTCTTCTTGAGTCTGTTTTGTTGATCTGGTTTCTATCTTGCTGCAGCATTATGTAGCTATGGTAAAGGGCTTCAAAACAGGGGTTTTGCTTCCATGAAGGAAATAGATCTGAAGTAAAATCTACTTCAAAAAAGCATGAAGTGCTTTCTGAAACACTCTGCTGCAATAGTAATCAGTTTGACTCTTCCTCCTTGTATAACTTAGGTTTACATTCTGTCTGTGCAGAAAAGTCCTCACTCGGTCACCCAGATGGCAGATTCTGGGTATAAATGAGATTACACTCGTGTGGCTATGAAAAATGAGACAGTCTTGCAGGAATTGACTACTGTTAGAGCCCTGTGGTGATCGTGCTGCAGCAGTACCTCTTTCACAACCCAGCTAGGAAAGAGGGATAACTGGAGTACCCTAACCCTCTACCTGTAGCTCTAGATAGACTACCTGGCTGGCAGCTGCTGGAGTGTCCAAGTCTTGCAGAGTTGCAGTATTGTGCTGCATAAGTGGTGAGCTAAGACCCTCGTATGCAGTCATAGGTCTGTCAGTTGTGTGGAGGCAGTGACATTGATGTGGACTTGCATAGTTGTTCTTTAGCACCGCTGAACCTTAAAGGAATAAAAACCAGAATCATTTAAAACATGTCAAACTGGAAAGGCCCTTATAGGCTTATTGGTGAACAGTCCTGGCCTCTGACAGAATAAGCTATACTTGTGTTTCTCTGGAGACAGACAAGCATCATTTGAGAGGCTCTGAGCTTGGGGCTTTGCTGAGATGGAGATAAGTCTGTCTAATCTTAAATGAGTTCTTTCAGCTTCTCTCATTGAACAGTCTTACATGACCAAGGAATTGGGTTATGTGGACTGCTTAGTCATGCTTCAGTTTTCCCAAGTGTTGGCTTTCTTTACCATACTATAGTCATTCTATATCTGACACATCTGCTGCTGATAATTATGCAGTGGTTTAATTTGCTTTTGTGTAACCTTTGACTTTTTTTTCCTCTTTCAGAGTTAAAACCTTACAAGTATGCAGGCTATCCTATGCTGATAAAGACTATTAACATAGAAACATCAGATGACCTTTTGTTTTCCAAAGAATCTCCTCTGTTGCCTGCTGCTACAGAACTTGCTTTTCATACTGTCAATTGCTCAGCGTTAAATGCAGAGGAACTGAGAAGAGAAAATGGAATTGAGGTAACCGGAAAGAAACTTACTGAAATGAATTCTTTTAGTCTATAACTTTCCACAGTCCTCAATGCGTAAGACATGAGATGCAACTGAAAATCGCTTTTGGTCTTGTCGAGACACTTCTCCATTCTTACTGTCCCTTTTTCTGGATGCAGTAGGAGAAGCCTCCCTTTCTGGATGTAGGCTTGTCTGTTGAACTGTGGATAACCAAACTACAAGTGATGTTTCTCTGCTTCTGTACAAAATTCTGCGGAGAGCTTCTGCATTCTGTATGTGAAAGAATAGATGAACAAATCACTTGAGCAGAAGGGCTTTCCCCACTGCACACAGTACAATCATTTAGGTTGGGAAAGACCTTTAAGATCATTAGATCCAGCTGCTAACATAACGCTGCCAGGTCTCACTAAACCATGTCCCTACAGGTCTTCTAAATACCCCAGGGATGGTGACTTAACCACTGCCCTGGGCAGCCTGTTCTAATGCTAGACAAGCCTTTCTGGGAAGGAATTGTTCCTCAGCTCAGCCATTAAAAATGGGTTTACCAGCTAATGTTGTATTTCTGCCAGCCTTTATCAGTTTTTGTTGTGACTGAATTTATGCATCATCCAATCCTCACAGGTATTGCAAGAAGCATTTAATCGTTGTGTAGCAGTCCTGACTCATTCTAGTAAACCAGATGATATGTCTGTGCAGGTAAGTCGCAGCAGTTTTCACTGATGGCAATAGCTTCTCCAAAGACAGTTCATATAGAAGCATAGAATCACAGACTGGTTTGGGTTGGAAAGGACCTTAAAATCATCAGGTTTCAACCCCCCTGCTATGGGCAGGGACACCTCACACTAGATCACGTCACCCAAGGCTCTGTCCAACCTGGCCTTGAACACTGCCAAGGATGGAGCATTTACCATTATAATAATATATGCACATATAATAAAATATGATATTATAGAAGTGTATATATATATATAAAAATATAAAATATCAATGTAGTATTAAATACATTAAAAATAGGATTGTAAACATGCATTTCCCCTCCACTTGAAACCAATAAAATACTGCTTTTTGTAGGTATGTGGCTATGTTAGTAAGTGTTACAGTGTGGCAGCTCAGTTTGAGGAGTGCAGAGAGAAGATTACAGAAAAGCCTAACATCATTAAGGACCTCTGTAGACTACTGTATTATGGCAAGGTAAGAGCTCCTTTGTGTAAATGGGTATTTAGCTGTTAAATGTTACGGGGAATATTCTGCTTTTAAGGGAAATAGGGCAATTTTAGAGACTGTTTAAATCCTTCTGTAAGATCCCTGCTAATCATTATGGGATAGAGAAGTCTGCTGCTTTGTTCTCAATGTTTATAGTTGAATCCATTTATTACACTTAAAATACAATCAGTGTAAGGATTCAGTTACTTTTGCTCTTTAACTGACATGTCTAGCTCACTGGTTTACTAAATCAGCAGATAAAGAACTAGAGCTTGATGTTATGTAAGCAGACTCCTAAATCGTCATACACTGGAAATGGTATACAAGAAGTTTTGATGTCATTTAGCTCTTTAGAACTCGTCTCATGTTATATAAATGTTGGGGTTTGTCTGTATTAAGAAAGGAAAACTTGTCTTTGTGCCTCTCATATGAGGTATGTGAAAACATAAGACTATAGAAAACACAAGACTAAAATCAGACTATAGTAATTGACTGTAGATGCTTGTGTGTTCCTTAGTCCCTGCAGAGCAAACATACTGGCACAAAACCCTCACCTGGGAATCTCTGTCACCTTCTTGAACTGTTAACTGTTTTCCCACCAGTTGTTCAGGGTTCCTTTATAATCGTATGAAATATCTATTCAAGTACTATTCCTTTGAAGGATGCTGACTCATTAGTCATGGTTTTGGCTACTGGACACTGAACTTGACCACAGATGGTGTTCAGTCTACTTCAGATTTCATCTTTGTGCTGTTTAGATGGTATTCTAGAATGAGCAAGTTTTGACTTTAAGTCTTTGGTAATGAAGCCAGCTGGCTTGCTTTGGTCACAGGGACTAAGGCAAGTCTCTTTTCCCTCCCTCAGAATATACCACGAGTAGCTGCTTTGGGAGTAGAGTGTGTGAGCTCCTTTGCCTTAGACTACTGGCTACAAACACACTTATTCCAAGCTGGAGTTCTCTGGTACTTACTGGGTTACCTCTTCAACTACGACTATACACTAGAAGAGAGTGGTATTCAGAAAAGTGAAGATTCAAATCACCAGGTAATGTTAACAAGGTGAATGCTTTCAGGCACCAAGAGTTGTTGCTTGCATTTCCTGGTAACAAACCAAGTGTTTTCAAATATTTGTGAGAGTCCTTGAATTACATGAACAATAACAGAAGAGTTTTGGAAGAAGACCTTTATGTAGCAGTGTAATGCTGGGGTTTGGGTTTTTTTTGAGTAGATTATGTTTTGAGTTCAAATGTTAAAGCTGCCAAACCCTGGAGTTTCTGGTAGACTTAATGCAAGAGATTTTTACCTACAAGGAACAGTAAAAAAGTACATTTCTGCAATCAGAAGTTTTGTTTGGTTGGGTTTCTTTTGCCTCTTGAAGCTCAACTGAAGGTGTTCTCTATTGATAACCATGAAGTTATCCGAAATATCTACTTTAGGTCTGTATTGTCCCTTTGCCTCACAGCTGTGAAAGTAGCTTCACACTTCCATTTCCTTGAATGGTGAGCCTCTATGGCATTTCTTCCTCAGCTACTGGATGAGATGAGCTTTGAACAGTGTGGAGTTATTACCTCTTTGTATCACTGTCATAGAAGGCTTGTTATGCTGGTATTTGATTATGCTAGTTCTGTTGGCTGGTCAGCAACTATTACACTAAATAGCTCTTGTAGTTTTCAGCTCATCTTGGTGCCCCGGTTTTTCTTACTTATCAGTGCTCATGTCAGTTATTATTGCACCCAACACAGTGATTATATGTGCTGTTCTGCAGCACCTAGTGCTTTATTAGACATCAGTACATAATTAGTGGTGCAGGCAAATTGAGGATACCAATTGTTTGCTCTGGTGTAGAAATGTTGGACAACTCTTTCTGGCTATTCTGACGTTTCTCCAGTGAGCTCTAAGGTTTTTAACTCTGTATTTTTCAGGAGGTAGCAAATAGCCTTGCTAAGCTCAGTCTCCTGGCCCTGAGTCGCCTTGGAGGCTATCTGTCTGAAGAACAAGCTACACCTGAAAACCCAACGATCAGGAAAAGCTTGGCTGGAATGCTGACACCCTACATTGCAAGGAAGCTCTCTGTGGTCAGTCCTACTGAGGTAAGCATCTGTTGGCCAAAACTTACCTTAGTGATTCATGAAAGGAATACCTGCTCACTTCTAAAACACTCTCTTAGACCAACCAAAACTCTCTTAGACCAACTTGATACAGAGAATAGCGGTGCAATTTGGTTTTCTTTGCATTTGGAGTAACTGCAAGGAAAAGAAGTTGGTTTAGCCTCAAACACAATGGGCAGGAACAGTACCTTGTAGGATAATATTTGCAAAACAAATATGGGAACAAAAGTTAATTGTTAAAGGCTTAAGGATATAATGATGATAGAGAGCAAACACTAAACACAGAATCACAGAATCATAGAATCGTTAGGGTTGGAAAGGACCTTAAGATCATCCAGTTCCAACCCCCCTGCCGTGGGCAGGGACACCTCACGCTAAATCATATCACCCAAGGCCTTGTCCAACCTGGTCTTGAACACTGCCAGGGATGGAGCATTCACAACCTCCCTGGGCAACCCATTCCAGTGCCTCACCACCCTCACAGGAAAGAATTTCCTCCTTATATCCAATCTAAACTTCCCCTGTTTAAGTTTTAACCCATTACCCCTTGTCCTGTCACTACAGTCTCTAATGAAGAATCCCTCTCCAGCATCCCTATAGGCCCCCTTCAGATCTCTCTTCACAAGTGGTACCAAGGAAGTCATCTACAAAGAGATACTTTATAGTTGCTGCTCGCTATCAAAAGTAAAAGGGCAGTTGAACTAAGCATGGCTCCAAGCAGCATAAAGAAAAATGAAAATGTACATTGTGCTGTACCAAATAACTTACAAATACTGTTTTTCTAGTATGTGATTAACTAATATCATGAAACACGCTGATTATTGTGCATAGTGATTGAAAAGTGTTTGTAAATGCATTACATCACATCAATTCCTTATTTCTTAGACTCTGAAGATGCTTAACAGTAACACAGAGAACCCCTACTTAATCTGGAACAATGGGACAAGAGCTGAACTAGTTGAGTTTTTGGAATCTCAACAAGAAAGCATGATTAAGAAAGTAAGATACTCTGTATTTCAAATCCCACTACTGTCTGTTTAAACCTCTTTCATGTTTTGGTGCGTCCACTTGTAATGCAGTGGTATAGTTAATACAAGTGTTCGTTGTTGTCTATGCCTAAGTCACTTTCTTCATTTAGCAGTCTTAAAATCTAAGAGTTTGTGTATTTATTTCTTGTAATGTTTCAATGAGAGCTTGTGATTTTGCTAAATCTGTAAGTTTTCTGTTCAGATATTGTCTATTTTGTTATTGAGTTATAACTCAATAAGATTGTTTTCTATCTGAACTTGTGTTGCTTCTCTCTGCTTAAAGGGTGATTGTGACAAGAGCTATGGATCTGACTTTGTCTTCAGTGACCATGCAAAGGAACTTATTGTGGGAGAGATTTTTGTTAGAGTCTACAATGAGGTCCCTACCTTCCAACTAGAGGTGAGATGCAGCTAAAACCTTCCTACTGAAAAAAGTCTTTGGAATGCTACTTCTTCCTCTTTATCTATCTGTCAGTACAAACAGACTGGAGAAAAACAAAGGCTTGTGTCAGCTTCCTTCAATGGGATGAGCATGTTATGGAATATCTCTGTTGGAGCAGATTAAATTAAACAAGTACCAATTTGTCATAAAACATGCTGCTTTGGGTGTCTTAATGCCTGTTCTCTGACAGCTTGGACTGCAGATACTCGGATTGATTCAGTACTTTCAGGAGGTGGTGATTCTGCCTCATGGCTTTGCTGTCTACGTATATATATATATATAGACAAACACACACCTTAAGAGTGCTGTTGAAGTAGCAGCAGCTTTGTAAGGGTGTGTTTAGACTGAAATAGGGTTGATATGCTCCAGATACTATAGTGATCGTAGTAGCAAAGTGTTTCCTGGCTGCTTGTCTGGAAGAAAGGGATTTGTGAAATGTAGGCCAAGTTACTTGGGTACACTTTCTTCCAGTGTGAACACTGTTGCATCACACAGCTAAAAATGCTTTCATCTCTAATTTAAAGCTTCCTAAAGCATTTGCTGCAAGCCTCTTGGATTACATAGGCTCACAAGCACAGTACCTTCATACGCTAATGGCAATAACCCAGACGGGGAAAGTCGAGTCCAATCAACATGGAGATCGGTTACGGAGAGTTGAGATGGCCCTGGAGGCTCTGAGAAACGTGATAAAACACAACCCAGGTAGGCTTAAAACTGAACTTCCCTGGTAGCTTTCTTGTGGACAACCTTCAAAATGCAGACCTCTGTAGTCTTTATCTTCCAGCCAGAAGCAAGCTTGTTTTGCTGGCTGACAGACTAGCACTTTGATAAGCCATACAGGCTTTTCCTCTCTGCCCAGAGAACACTATCAGTAGATGGATTAGTTTTGTGTGAAATCCAAGCCTTATCTGTTTTCTTTTCTGAAACATTGGGGTTTAATTCTAGCCTGCTTTTGCCAGGAAGACTTAAACCTTTTGGATACAACTTTTTGTAGTCCTTCGAAGAATCTTTAGCTGATTTTTAAACTTCCTTGCTTCAGGAAGAACCTCCTTGAGCTGAGTACTGCGTACTGGTAAAACCTAAAAACGTGTCAGGGCTTTATGAAAGCAGGAAAAGATGTTCTTGAGAGTAGGCAGCTAATACCAGCGAAGGTTAATGAACAGGTATCAATGTACAGACTTAAAGCCTGAGACACGATTAGGATGTTTTCCTACTGTACTATGTTAGTTCTAAAAGCAAATCATGTTACTATCATGGCTTCTAATAATAGCTGGCTAAGTTGTTCTCTGAATGGATTCTCTGTATTTGGTAATTATAAGCCTGAAGGCAGCAGATAGCAACCCTGCTCTGAGCTGCGAAAATCAGAAAGGGAGGTGTATTTGAACACAAGAAGTACTGATGATTGATGATAACTTGTAAGAATGCAAGTAACTAGGGAGTCTGAGAACTAGCTTTGAAGGGAGGAAGTATCCTCTGCTTTTGAAACACTGTTGAAGTGTGACCTTGTAGAAGCTGCATTAATAGACAGTGTCAGCATTTAGATCTTCTAACTACTGTGGCAGACTATATACACACGTGCATTCTTTAACACCTCTGTAAAGTGAAATGTGGTCTTGGGACAGCTTTCAGTAAATGCCTTGGCTAACATGAGGAGAATAACTTCCTTGGTCTCTTGCAGGTTCTGAGTGTGAATGCATAGGTCACTTTAAGTTGATATTCTCCCTTCTGCGTGTTCATGGAGCTGGCCAGGTGCAGCAGTTGGCTCTGGAGGTAAAAACCCAAACCAACCAACCAGACAAACAACCACAAATCCCCTTGTCTGGATGCTGTACAGAATCAGCATAAACAAAACTGACTGGGTAACTGTTAGTTACCTAAAAAGGATCAAGATTGGGGTTCCAAGGTGTCAGTTCCTCCTTGGAGGAATAAGTGACAGTTTCTTGCCTCTGTCCTTGCTCCCATCTGAGGTGAGAAGACAATTTGGTGATGGGAATAAGCATTATAGATACTAGCTGTGTTGGCCAGGGAGGTGACTGGTTTCCTACACTGCATTTTTCTGGGCAGTGTCTTAACAGCTGGAGTATAATCAAGTGTTGTTTGTGGTCTTTTACAGGTGGTGAACATAGTGACAAGTAACCAAGAATGTGTTAACAACATTGCTGAGGCAATGGTTCTTGCGAACTTACTGGCACTCCTGCATTCCTTACCTTCAAGTATGTACTATAGAATCCTTAAGTGTTGCAAGGCAAAGAGTTTTCAACTCAAATCAGTTAGAATGCAGCTGGCTGAGCTTACTACTGAGATTTAGGCTAAAACAGCATTTCAGTAACCTGTTTGTTGTCTTAAATGTGTGAGCTGCAAGTGTTTGAAGTGTGTGGTATTTACTGACTAAGGAACTGAGGTATCCCAGTTGAGGTAGATTAAGAGTTGTGCCACTCTAGAATGTACAATAGGACATTCCTTAACTGAGTTTAACCAGAAATCTCTAAGCTTGAAATTATCACCAGCTTAACTGCGGTTTCGACACAGCTTTCTGTTAAGATTCGTTTAGTTCCTCTTTGTGCCATAAAGACTATTAACTAATCAAAGTTCTTGATGCTTTTGGTTTTGACAGGTCGGCAGCTCGTCCTTGAGACTTTGTATGCTTTGACATCTAGCACAAAAATAATCAAAGAGGCCATGACAAAAGGTACAGTGCTCACTGAAAGCAAATGGTTCTGCAGCACAGGACTTAAAGTAAATACAGCGGTCAAATCCTCCTCTTCCCTTTAGAACAATCAATGTGGAATTGGTGAATACATACTACTTGTGACCAGCAGAAAACTTGAATGTTTTCCCATCTCTTTGTACAGGTGCTTTAATCTACTTACTAGATATGTTTTGCAACTCAACTCACCCGCAGGTTCGAGCCCAAACAGCAGAGCTCTTTGCCAAAATGACTGCAGATAAACTGGTGGGTCCAAAGGTAAGGATCTTAAGAGGTCTTGTTGGAACTCTTGTCCTGATATTACCTGCCTTGCTGTAAAGACAGAACGAAAGAGTAAAACCTGTTCTGTGACTGAAACATTCATGTGAAGAGCAATCTGGCTTTTTCAGAAGGGTGAGCAGACTTCTAGCAGCAGTTGTATTTACTGTACTTGCTCTACGCAGCTTGGTTTTTAGTTGTAATGACCTTAGGTCCCTAGATTTGAGACCTGTCACCAGTGTGAGTCTAGCGCTATTTAAAACGATAGCACTGTTGTTTGGTGCCGTTGTGTTCTAGCAGTTGGCATGACAGTACTACAGATACTTGGACCTCCTGGAGTTCTCTGTTCTGTCAGTTAGTGTGTCTTACAGTGTACGAAATGTCAATTCTGTTCATCACTTCTAGGTTAGAATTACACTGATGAAGTTTTTACCTGGAGTCTTCATGGATGCCATGAGAGACAACCCTGAAGCTGCCGTTCATATCTTTGAGGGAACTCATGAAAATCCCGAGTTAATCTGGAACGACAACTCCAGGGAGAAAGTATCAACAACAGTTCGAGAAATGATGCTTGAGTATGTGGAGACCTACTAACTCTTTCCTTAACTGAGGCTCTTTTGGTGGCAGTAAACCAGAGTTACTATAGAACTGTCAGACAGTTCTGCCTGTAAAAGGCAGACTTCAGTGAGAAGGAACTTGTTCACTGTATATTGTAGCTGTTACTCAGTGATGCAAAGTGCAGCTTATGCACAATCCAGGTGTTTGCTCACTGCTGTAAGATCTGGAAGGGGGATTACAGTGAGGAGAAAATGGGGTCAAAAAGTGGAACTCCTTCACAACAAGGGGGGCAGACTGAGGTGTCAAGCAGGAAAAACTGCTTCTTTCACTGCTTGTTTAAATGTACTTTCTTTTTGAAGGCACTTTAAACTTCAGAGGGACAACCCTGACACTAACTGGAAGGTAAGAGGACACCGTTTCTGCTTTGAGTGCATTCAGGGAGACTTTAAGCCAGCTGATAGTATCTGCATGTATGTAACTCTCTGTCAGGCTTTTGTCTTAAAGTACCAACAGGAACTTAACTTCTGTGCTAACATAACTGTTTCAGTGTTGAATTGATGCTTTCGTTGTTTCTGGTACCATGAAATCAGACACTGCATTGGCAGTGGTTTTGCCAGTAATAGCCTGAATTTTCTGACAGTTCAGGTCATTCTAAAACTCACCAAAAGTCAGCAGCAAAGGAGAATATGGATTTGTTGGGTAAAGTCCTGTCACTGGTTATATTGCTGCAGTAAACTTGCTCTTGGTGAATGTTCAGGAGGCCACTGAGTCTCCAAAATCACTGTCCATTCGATCATGTCAGGTACATCAGTGAGATGTTTCAGTCTGTAGTTATTTCCCAGGGTTTGTGAAAGGCCTGGTATGACTTCCTGCCAACAGTTCAACATGAAAACAACTGAACACATGCAAGGATGGCTGTTTAGATGCAGGTGGAAACTGGAAGCTTTGATGGTTGATGGTGAGAAGCCATCCCTTGAGGTGTACAAGGAAGAAGGGAAAGGGCTGTTTTATCAGTTTTGTTGCTGGTGTTTCTCTTGAACTAGGATAGATGTAGATTCAGTTACCTGCGTTCTTTGAAAGCTCCACTGTAGCAGTACTGCCTGCACTGTTCTTTTGCTTCTTTACCTGGTGCTCCTTCAAGATGAAGTGTTCCTTGGTTTTGGAGAATACATTTAGTTCAGTGGCCCTTACCCCCAGGGCCGTGATGTTAAAGGAACAATGTCAGCTCTCACAAATGCCCTTGCCAATAACTCTGCTTTCCAATCAACAGCTTCCTGAAGACTTTGCTGTGGTGTATGGTGAGGCAGAAGGTGAACTTTCAGTGGGGGGAGTCTTCCTAAGGATTTTTATTGCCCAGCCGGCCTGGGTTTTGCGGAAACCAAGAGAATTTCTCATTGCACTGTTGGAAAAGTTTACTGAACTGCTGGAGAAGAATAACCCCCATGTAAGATGGATTTTCTGATTCTGCTCTTTGGATTTCTTTAGCAGTTTTAAGCTTTTAGTCTTTTAGTATCTGAGTAACTTGGATTCTTACACTTTCTTACATGATGCTTTTTGGTCTCTTTTCTGGCTCTCTATAAAAGCATGTAGATGTATTTAGGTGACTTCTGAGCATGAGTCAGTGCATTTAAAGTCCCTGAAGGCATAGAACTAGCTTCAGTAGAGGCTTATTCTGTGATAAAGATGAGGCTTAACTAATAAAGTGTCTTAAATTATCCCATGACTCACCAACCTAAGCAAATAGCACTTGTTCTATCCTGCTTGGAAGTTTTCAACTCTTGACACTTGTCGTGTCCTTCTGCAACAGTGGTTTCCCATTCTGGTGTAAACTGTGACCTACACCAGGCTGACATCTAACAGTCACTGGAATGCAGTAGAATGAACATGTTACAGTTTGAATAAGAACAATGTTCAAGTCTAACTTAATGATATTACTAAAAACTGTGTTTTAAATGCTGTCCAGATGTATCCTTAGTATTGCAGGGAGGGAGTGAACTTGCACATTGAGTGTAATGGTCATCTTTGGATGTGGCAGCACTTTGTATAGGCATGCAGAATACAGCAAGTGAACCCTTTAAGGATTCAGGTGGTCAGCCTAAACATCCATCCGTACTGTCACGCTTCCAGCGAGCACGTTGGCGTGTGTGCTGCTGCAGCTGGACACTGGCTTCTCTAGCCACTGGAAATAGTGCTTAGGATTTGTTGTGTGATGTGTGTTCATGAAACTAGCGAATGTCTGTCACTACTGGAGCTGATCATGTTCTGAACTTCTTGTTTTAGCGATTTCAGAGTAAAGTGATGTGATAAAAGCATCAGAGGAAAACAAATGTGCGATGCAGAGCAAGTGAGGAGCATTGCTGTGATGGTGTGATACGTGAGGCTTTGCTGAGTTACACTTTGTGCTTGTCTTCTGCAGGGGGAAACTTTAGAAACCATTACCACAGCAACTGTGTGCCTGTTCAGTGCCCAGCCTCAGCTGGCTGATCAAGTTCCTCCACTTGGTCATCTTCACAAGATAATCCAAGCTATGAATCACAAGAACAACGCCATTCCTAAAAGTGCCATTCGTGTGGTGCACATACTGTCTGACAATGAGGTGAGGAATCCTCTGAGTGCTCAAGGGGAGAGAAAAGCATCACTGGAGTTATTGCTATTGTTTAGCACTGTTCCTAGAAGGGCCTTACTGTAATGATAAATACTGTGCCAGATGAGCAGGGACTTGCAGCTAATTGATGGGGAGTTGATAAATTAAATACACTGAGAAACTGATGGCCTTGGCTGCCCATATCTGCCATACTCATCAAGCTTACTCTGGATGTTTCTGTCTCTCTGTAGCTTTGTGTTCGAGCAATGGCATCACTAGAGACCATCAGCCCTCTCATGAATGGAATGAAAAAGAGATCAGATATAGTTGGTGTAGCCTGTGAAGCACTTAATCGAATGTTTCAGAAGGAACAAAATGACTTGGTGGCCCAAGTAAGTAGTACATTGTCAGACTGTAAAATATGTGATTACATTTGGGTATCTAAACTGTTCATAAGAACAGGACGACTGTTCAACTTCAGTGTGCTGGAGGCTTCCCAGAAGCCATCTATCCAACATGCTTTTCATGTTGGAGAAGTTGGAAGTTATCCCTCTCTCCAAAATGCAGACCTGTTCAAGGTCTTACCCTAGCAGTGAACCTTACTGCATAAGAATAGTGTTGGCTTGTGTCTGCTGAGAAAGCAGAACAGAGGAATGCCAACTAATTCAACTGAGCTTAGAGCTAGACATAGAACTGCTGGACAGTACCTGTGCTTTCTCCTGTACATACTTAGTGTGAACCACGAGTGCCAAGAGCTATTACTAACACAGTAATGTAAAACCTCTGTATGGAACTTCCTAGCCTATGTTAAGACAACTCCTTTGGGTATGTGTGCAGGCTCTGAAGGCAGATTTGGTCCCCTACCTTCTAAAGCTGCTTGAAGGGGTTGGTCTCGAGAACCTGGAAAGCCCAGCTGCAACAAAAGCTCAGATTGTTAAAACTCTGAAGTCCATGTCTCGCAGCCTGCAGTATGGAGAGCAGGTGAGTACTGACCAGTCCTTCACTGGGCATCAAACTCAGCATCTCTTGTTTCATCATCTGGCTCTCATGTGCATCATTCCACCTAAAACATTAACGTCATGAAACTATGGAATCATTATGGGTTGGAAGGTCTCTGTCTCTGGTGAAGAAGTCATTGGTTTGATTCCTGTGAGGATTGCCAATAAAAGGCAAATCCCAAGCAACTGCAGCAGTGTTAGGGATGTATATTGAAGCAAGTAAAATCTGTCTCAGTAACTGTGCTAGTTCTTGGTGCCTTTCTCTTACCCTTGTGTTGAAAGCTTTATCAGTAGGAGGGAAAACTGGGGATGGGTTTTTCCTCCAGGCTGGCCCTGTCTTGCTGTAGTACAGGAAACATCTTCTTGTGGGTCAGCTCTAGATTCATGGCAAGTGGCTGCTTGCAGGGTTTGCTTTTCCTGAACTGGGGAATGGGGAAGAAAGTCAAGCAGCTAAATGACTTCACATAATGCAGGAGGCTCATGAAGTTCAGCTGCACAATTCACAGGGAAAAAACAGTTGATACAGTCTCCTTGGAAGTGTGAGGTTCCACACTGTAGCCTGAACTATTGCTGTGCAATACCTGTGCAATGGTTTGGTTCTAGAGAATGGGTTTGTTCCCCTGGAACGTTACAAATGTCACTTGCTCATCTTGCTATTCTCTTCAACAACTGTAGGTAAATGAAATCCTGTCTCGTTCTTCTGTGTGGAGTGCCTTCAAGGATCAGAAACATGACTTGTTCATTTCTGAGACACAAACAGCAGGATACCTCACAGGTTAGTAACCCTTTCCTATTTATGTCCTGCATCCTATTGAACTGTTACTTGTCACTGATTCTGGACATACAGCTTATCCTCAGGTTCTAGAGCCATCGTGTGGCCTGAACACAGTGCTGTAAAAGTACAGCAAGTTCTTAAAACACTCATCAAAAGCCAGACTTTTGTGGTTGAGAATATTTTCTGCAGTGTCTTTGCTGTACCTATGTATCAGTGCAGTGGAGTCTGGACACTGGCAAGTCTTGCCACTACCCTGTAGTGATAAAGCAGAGGTGTGATCAGAACTAATGGATGACAGTATCTCTCCAGGCTTTCTCAGGATCAGTCTGAGTTGCAGAGCATGACGTTTTCCAAGGTTTTGGGGAGGAGTGAACTTTGCTCAGAATCACTGAGACTGTTTGAACTGTGCCACGTGAATCAGGATGTGTTAGTGGTAGGTCTGGAGCAGCAGTGTTGGAACAGTTTGAAAGTGAACAGCTCAGATGTGAGCCCATGTTCCAGTCAGACTCAGAGCACTGGCAGGGCCCCTCTGCTGGGGACAGCCTCGTACCTGTACACAGAGCTTGTGGCCTGAATGCATCTGTGGTGCACCCTGGAGTGCCCTGCTGGTGCCACCAAGCCTGAGCTGTCACCTCAGTCCTACTGCATCCTGAACAGTGCAGAAGAGCATTGTAGCTGTGCTATGTACTGTGAACCCACAAAGGATAGCAACTGCTGTGAACGTCCTTGCTGGGACTTGCACTGGGGGGACATAATCCTGGGACAGTAAAGTCATAACAAATCAAATTCTGGTTCTCCCTTCATTCACATGCAGCACTTGACAGACACATCTTTGACTGTATTCTGCTGTATCACAGTCCAGAACTTTGCTGTCACAGAGTTGTCGCTGTATCTGAAAATACTTTGTGTAACAACATCATAGCAAGCTTTGTCTAAAGCCCTGCATGGTACAAATGTCTGACTCCTCAGTCGCTATCAGCTGATGCTCAGTCTTACAAGTCTAGGCTCCCAGGTGAGGTTTTCAAGGCCTTTGTGACAGTATGAACACTCCCGTGTGCCACATGGAACTTTTTCTCTAACCCAGTGTAGGAATCGTGATAAAGCTTGAGTGTGACTGAATTAACAAGGTACACATCAGATGGCCACAGAGACAGGGAAGGTTTTCTGGCGTGTGTCTTGAGAAAACGAAGCAAGAACCTTTCAAGTCAGGCTTTAGATGTTCTGGAAGCGATGGTTAGTATTTTGAGAGCAGGTATATGGCAAGACTTTCCACACAGGAAAGACTCAGCACTTCAGCTCTGACCAGGAGTTTTGTGTTTATTGTACCATTTAATGCTGCTTTGACAAAGACCACTTGATTCACTTGGAGCTGAATTTCATGGGTATCTCATAAATACTGTAATGAGAAATGTAATGAAGTAAATGCTGGTGGATTACTGGCCAAGAACTGAAACTCTACCAGGCATGGTCAGGCTTGAGACTGGGGGTAATACAGCTGTCCAGTTCCTTAAGGCCTCTGCTGCATTTCAATTGCCTAATGTATAAGTGCTTGCAAATGTAGAATGAAGATGCTGTAGAAATGCCAAGTATAGATGGAAACTAAACTATAAGCTGTATTTGATGGAAACCAAACTACAAGCTTTATTTCTAACCTGCTTTATCTTATATTCTGCCTTATGTCTTGCTTCAAGTTGCTTTGCTATTTGCACTTCCCTTGAAACTTCCCTTGCTTGTTTCTCTTCCCTCAGGTGTCTCTTCTCCTTCCCTTCTAACTGGCAGCAGTCCCCTTCACCTGAGAAGTGGGCTTTAGATCTGCTCTGCCAGGCAGCTTGCTCACTTCTGTGTAGCTCTCTAAAGCAGGTAGATACCATCTTGCAAACACACTTGCTGCACTCGGTGCACTCCAAGTTGTAGATGCATGTCAGAACTGTAACAAACGTGTGGGCCTGAACTGCAGAGCACTGATAAACATGCCACCTTCAACACACAGGAGCATAAAACTAACAACTGCAGTGGCTGATACTCACTGGTACTACTAAACTTGTGAAGTGCATTAGGAATCCTGTGGTGGAAAAGCTTGAGAGACAAAAGAACTAGCGGAATGTTTGCAGCAGGACATGTAGAAGTAGGACTGGCCCTGGGCAGATGCTGTTGCTGGGCTGGCAAAGAGAAGCCTGTTCTGAAGCCAGACAGCTTTTGTTACCACAGACACTGTTTTGCTTTGCTCTCTTGCTTGCAGGACAAGTGGAGGACTGTTTGCAAGAAGACAAACACCACTCATGTGATAGCTCCAGGCTGTGGTGTGAGGAGGGAGGCTGGGGCATGAAGGGGTAGCAAATCTGGGGGAACTCAGTGAGGATGACTTAAGGGGGGAACATTAAGGATGCAGCAGAACTTACCCTGCTGAAGATCAGCAGTGGGTTGAAGGTCTAACACCAAGTTGATCACTGTATCGATGCAGGAGTGTGTTGTGGGTTGGCAGTTTATTACAGTCGTTAATCTGGTAAGAGCTGCTGTTGGAACGCCTCCTGCTGCAGCAGCAATTCTGGTTGTGTTTGGAAGTCTCTATACAAGTACGTTTTAAACTCTTAAGCTTCAATGGAGACGGGCTTTGTCTGCAGTGCAAAACTGCCCACCCCTCCAGTTACTGACATCGAGATGTATTGACGGTGAGGAGTTATCTCTGATGCAGTTTGTGTATCCCAAGAATGCTGTTCCTCTTCCTAGGCAGAGGCACTAAGAGCTGCCTAAAGCACAAGGCAGCTCTCTGCACTTCCTTTAACTACACACTGGGACCCCCTGCAGTGCTGAAGCAGTGGTGGGATGCTCACCCAAGCTCACCTTGCTCCTGCAGTGGATCCTCCCATTAGTAAAGGCTGGGCACCCCCTCCTCAGTGCCACATCCACGGTGTGCAGGTGGGATGGAGAGTGGTTGGGGTTCCTCTGGAACTCATTTGGCACATTAGAATAAAAAATGCTGAGCAAGTCTGAGAACGGCCTCCACAAGCTACTCTACTTGGTGGGCTGAGTTAGTTGGAATTCCTGCTATTCCCAGATTCCAAAGAATCTAAATGGAAACTCTGACATGTTCTTGTTTAGGTGTCTGGTTGATTTAAATGATGTGTTTGAGTGGTACCAGAGGGGATAAAGCTGCTCAGTTGCTCTTTGGGTTCAAGGTTCCTCACCAGCGCTGTGTTTTCCTCCCAAAAGGCCCTGGAGTCGCTGGTTACCTCACTGCAGGGACGACAGCATCTGTAATGCCCCACGTACCACCCCCGGTAGACAACGAAGTGGGAGATGGCAGCTAAGGACTGCAGACCTGTGTGAAAGAGGCAAAGGCAGCGTGGCCAGTGATGAGGAACAGCAATTTCCTCCAACGCTCTGAAGTGAACTTACTGCCTTTTCCAAGTGTTTATGACAGTGTTATTCCTTTTTCTAAGACTTGTTTGGTTCTTCTTTTTTTAGGGAAAAGTCAGTGATTCTGTCACACTGTACCACAAGGAAGCACTCTGTGGATCAGCTGAAATGGGTACACAAGAAGTTTTTTTTCTTGTTGTACGTAAGCACATTTTGTTCCTTTCTATTTGTTTACAAGACTGTGAATCAAACTTTCCTAGTTTTTATATTTTATGAATTAGCACGACTGGAGTTGAGCTACAGTCTAGAGGAATTGGGCTAAAATCACTTTGACCTCACCCACCCCCACTAAAAGGGCATCCCTCCCTCTTCCCAGTCTGACATGATCACTCCCATTGAACATGACTTGCAAAGGGTTTGTCCCTGCACCGGTTCACTGATGTCCTTAATCATTAACATTCTCTTCTTCCTGAGATCAGACACCATTAGACATTCGTATGTATAACTGGCTTGACCAAATTGACAGAGCTTCAGCAAAAAAACAACCTTAAAGTTGACGTTATGTAAGAAATTAGTGTAATTGTGAAATGTTCTATACATTATCCAGTATATAAAAACTTTCTATATTGAGTGTACATTATACAGATCATTCATATGTACAGAAAATTTTAAAATAAAGGGAATTAAGAGCCTTGTTAATGAGAGAAAAGGTGGTGGCCTTATGAAGCTGTTCTTTGAAGGTGTGGGAAACAAGAGCGATCAGAGCCTTGAACTTGAGTACAGCTAAACAGGGCTCCTGGCCATTACCCAGCTTGCAATAAACTACCTGGGGTGGAACTGTTGAGTTAAAACTGCTTTGCCTACACTAAAGGGATAAAGAAGGCTTTGGCTCAGAGCAAAGAAGGAACTTTAGGGCTGTTAGAAAATAGATTTAGTGTTAGAAAACTCAGCCACACGCTGGTATTTACAAGGCACTCTGCAAGGTTTTAAAAGCAAGCCCCTGATTAAAGTGTAAAATGCAAGAAAAGAGTGAGAGAATATGTATTGTTTCAAGGCATCCCTGCCCATGGCAGGGGGTATGGACTGGATGTTCTTAAGGTCCTTTCCAACCCAATCCGTTCTATGATTCTATAAGGTGGTTGTATTCAGTTTTACCTTAAACAACACTACTGCACTGAACAACATCCTTCCAGAGTCCTTCCTGCCTGCAAGGTGCTTTGTGCTGACGTTAGATTTTTGCTGTTAGCTTCTTGGACTGCTCAAGCAGTTCCCACCTTGCGATGGTCGAGAGATGAACCTCGTCGGGCCCGTCTGCCAGGCGCAAGGTCCGGATGTAGGCAAACCTGTGGGGAGAGCTGGGTTAGGGGGAGCAGGAGCACTCAGCACTGTTTGCTCCAGCCAGCCTTGTGACAATAACCTCTTTGAAAAGGTCATCACGCAGAAGATACTGCAGCAGAATCTTCCTGGCAGGCCTGAGGTACACGGGATGGAAAAGGGAAAGTTTGCTTTTCCTCAAAGCTTTAGGAACAGGTCCTCTGTGCTGCTATGAACTATTTTAGGTAAGGTAAAGCACTGCAATTGCAGTGGAATTGAATTGTAAAACCAAATGGTTTGAGCTTTTTCTAGCTTAAAGGCGTAAAGACCATTATTTCAGGCTATCTGAGGTGAAATGGGTTATAAAATGATTTTCAAAGGAATGCTCAGAAGCTACAGCTGAGGCTCTCTTTACTCACATAAAAGCCAAAGGAAAATCCTGGGAAACTCCTGCTCCCCCACACACTTGGATTGCACAGTCAATCACTTTAAGCACGGCTCGAGGGACAACCACTTTGGTCATGGCTACCTGGAATTAGACGAGAACCCACATTATCAGTAAAGAGTTTCATAATGAAATGAAAATGCTTACCTAACCCTTCTAGTGAGATTGGCAGCTCGCAGCCCATTCCTCCCCCTGGGCTTGAATGAGGGCTTACCTGCATAAGGTAGAACTGTTTCCAGTCACCCAAACCTCTCATTGTGTTGAGACAGAGAAGAAATACTTGAGCTTCTTTAACTTTTAACAACTTCATCAGCTGGAGCCCAGAGTTTTTAACTGAGAACACTTTCCAAGCTCGTGCCAATCAAAAACACAACTCAAGACCATCTATTTTCAACACAAAGTTACGCTACGCTTAGTGCTGTGCTTTAGCTTGTGGTTCAGGCAGTTGGATGCACAGCTATTGCAGGGCCAAGTCCTAGCCTGAGGCTGCCAAAAGCAGTTTTACCTCTTTCCTTGCTTTTCTGTTGCCCAGTGCATCGATCTTGCAGGCTGTTCTCAGCGTGAGCAGCCGAGCCTGTTCTATCCCGAGGCGACATTCAGCGATCCAATGCGCAACAACCTCCTGCAGAAAGCAAAGCCAGCGGCAGGCCGTGAATGCTCCCAGCCTGCCTGGGAAGCCCTGCCTGAAGGAAGACACCCCTCGCCTTCAGCACTTGGAGGCACTTGGGTGCAAATTAAAGGTAGTTTAATGCATGAATGAAGTAAAAAGAAAGAAACCACTTAACTGACAGAATACTCAATGGAAAGAAGTTTTTTTTCCTGGCAGGAAAGAGGAAAAGGGGAAAAACTCCATATTCTGGCACACCCGGTTCCTGGTCACACCACTGCCTGCTCCCCCTTTCCCCAAAGCCCCTCAAAGCCTGCTTTTTACTGCTTTCCTTTCCCCATTAGGACTCACAACCCTCTCCCTGTCTAACGTGCCTCAGGCTCCAGCCAGTGGGAGGTGAAAAGGGAGAGGAATTGGTTCTGTTTTGTTTCAAGTACTGGTGGCGGTGTGTCATGCGCACAGCTGCAGCGGGGCTGATAACTGCCACAATTGCCTGTTCACACCAATGATGATAAATCAGTAGCTGCCTTGATCCAAAGGAAGTTATGGCCTTAGGGGCCCTTCCCTGCTCCTTTCACAAATTCCCCTTTCAGCCAACATACCACAGCAAAACCAAACCCTGCTCATGGGACGTTTGTCAGCGCAAAAGCTGCCTGGAGCGGGGATGTTGTAGCTATGAAGGCATGAACAAACATGCAGTGCTTGTGTCAGTGTGAAGCCTCATGGCAGCAAAAGCTGGAGGAGGGGTTCAGGTAGACCCTGCTGCCTCCAGAAGGGTGGTGACAGCCTCTGTTCCCCAAGGCAGCCCCTTAGCACAGGTTCCTCCCAGCTCTAGGGGAGCTCTGCTGCTGCATGAACATCAGTTTTACTTCACTGAGCTGCTGAGACATAAGAGTGCACCTCATGCAATGCATGAACTCTGGGTTATGGTCGTGAATGGAAGTTGTTTGGCACTGACACAACTGGAAAAGGGGATGTAAGATGATTCCCTCCGGCTCTGTACAAACTTCTTTAACCTGTGCCAGACACTAATTCAGCTTCCTCTTTCCATTGCCCTTGTTTTTTCCAATAAAGTCATCCTAGCTCTTGAAATAGACGTAGGAACACTTGACATGTGATAAGCGACTACTAAATGCTGATGGTTCCTATAAAAAAAACAGTGTCACCTTTTTATTATGCTTTCTCCCACACAACAGTATTTCAATTCCAGAGCAAGGTAAGACCAAAAATCCCAACAGGGCCGTGATTTGGTTTGTACTTTCATAAGTACAAATAACTGAGCAGAGAAGTAACAGTTTTAGTTACATTCAGACCCTTGAGTGGCGCTGGTCACCACGAACAGAGATGGCTTGATGACATATTCACACAAAAATTGGGAATTTGGATTGTAACTACAGAACCATGAGGTGGATGGCTGACAAAAATACCATTCCAAACTGATGAGTGAAAGCAGAAAGACAAAACCCATAGGGCCAAAACCTGTGTTCAGATCCAGCAAAGGGTATCCAAGTCATTGCAAGGGGACATAGAATCACAGAAGCATGGAATGGTTTGGGTTGGAAAGGATCCTAAGCTCATCCAGTTCCAACTTCCTACCATGGGCAGGTTTTAGGTTAATCTTTGAGACAGAAATGAATGCCTTTAAAGCACAGAGGGTTCCTCAGTTGGGCAATTCGTTTGTAGCAGATGGTTTTGGTGCAGGAAGAGTTACCTAACCTGTGATACTTGGGACAATGCTAGATTTCACTCAAATCCCATAGTTTATAGTGAAAACTGGGGGCCTTGCAATAGGGTTTTTCCTTTGCTGCCTGAGGCACTATGAACAACAGACTGAGGTTAGGGCACATCTACTGCAGAATCCCAAGGTTCTGTGCAGGCAAAACAAAGGGTGGTGCCTGGAGCACAGGAATGGGGACATAGAGGGAAGGTGCTTACGTGGTGATAGAGTTTCTTCCCGAAGGTTTCCCTCTGCGCCGCACGCTGGCACATGAGCTGCAGAGCGGTTTCAGCTGCGCCAAGGGACCTCATGCAGTGGTGGATTCGGCCAGGCCCCAGCCGACCCTGAGCGATCTCAAACCCCCTGCCCTCACCTGATGGAAAGAAGAACAAGCACATGCAGAGGCCTTGATTCCCTCTTGGGAGTGATCCCTGGCTCTGAGCAGAAGTGGCCTCACAGAACCAGAGCTCCATCGCTGGCGGTGTTCAAGGCCAGGCTGGATGAAGCCTGGTGTGGGATTGTTTTAGTGTGAGGTGTCCCTGCCCATGGCAGGGGGGTTGCAACTGGATGATCTTAAGGTCCTTTCCAACCCTAACTAGTCTATGATTCCAAGTTTATTTTGCAGAAATCTTGCTTGTTTCTGCCAACTAGGTCTATGTTGACACACTGTTGTTAACACTTCCAGCCCACAGCACACCCTAAGATGGTTTCTGAGAGGGCTTGATCTACCTGATTTAAATCAATACATTGAAAAATACATGTAAGAGATTTGGTATGAGAATCTGGGGGAAGGCTTTGTTTTCCAGGTCCCAGGGCTGCTCAAGACAGAAAGCTCTTTCAGTGAAATGAAAATAGGAGAGAGGAAATAAATAGAAGACATCAGGATTTGTAGTCAGTGAGAGAAGCAAAGGAAAGTTCTTCCTGCAGAAGGGCACAGAGCTGGCCTGCCCATTCTTTCATGACTGTTTTCAGTTCCGCTGAGTTGGCAGACACTGGGCATGGATAGCCACAGAATGCTCTTTTCAAAGCCCATACAGTCTATGAGAACTGGCTTTGGGGAAAGAACTGACAGTTTCTGCTTTGCTCTGCTTCAGGGTAGTGATTTTCACATGACAGCTACAGCTTCCTTCAGTCACCTTCCTGCTGTGCACCTCCAGCACCAGGCAGCCTGCTAAAGGAAGAGTGAGCTCCCTCTTGAGTGTGTTTGAGGCCCTGGCTCAACTGACCACAGCCAACACGGTAACAGGATGATTCAGAAAATATGATTTGGCTCATTGCTGTATGAATTCAAAAGGAATTAACACTGAAACTCACCCAGTATTATATTGGAGATAGGGACTCGCACATCATTAAAGTGGATCTCAAAATGTCCTCCATGGATCTCATCTGCAGGGGCAGAGAAAACACAGCTGCAGGGTAAAACGCAGGAGGGTAAGAATGCATGCCTTCAGTTCCTAACCTTTTTTCTATAGAGGCACTTCCCTGATTTATTTCATATACAGTACTTGTAAGTATTACTGCAGCTTCTGAGACTGCTGACAAACTCATACACATAGAGCTGATGAATATTGTCACCTACCCAGGTAGCCAAACACCGAGAGGGGTCTTATCAGCTTCAGCCCTGGA